ATAATGCTAGATAAGAAATGTACTCATTACCTTGCTTATGTAACCGTACAGTATTTTCACAGTAAAAAACTTAATTAAAAAAAGATTTTAAATATATGTATAATTTTAATGAAATTTTTGTAAGCCCTAAAGTTTTGTAAGCACTAGGGTTTTGAATCCAGGGCAAGATTCATTTACTCCCTTAACATTTCATTAAGTGTGTTAACTATGTTTATCTATTCACCATCTCAAACATGTAACACTAGTTCTTTCCCATGGATTTTTTTTTCCTTTTTATAGTTTTCCCTATCTGTGTCTGAAAATATCAAATGGAAATCCAGAAATTAAGAAGCCCAGAATATTAAATTGCACATGATTCATAGCAATGTGATGAAAACTTGCACTGTCCTGTCCCGTTCTATCCATGATACAATGAATTCTTTTGCCTAGCATATTCATGTATTCAGTATGTTTTATAGCCAACATCCAATATATCAAGGTATACAGTGTATTTGTTTCGATTTCTAGTTAATATTAGTTATGTTTCTAGTCTCTCACTGTGTCTAATTTATACATTAAATTTTCCCTTCAATATGTGTGTGTAAGAAAATACTACACAGAAACACAGGATTCTGTACCATCTAGGCTTTCAAGAATTCATGGATATATTTCGTAAAATAGAAAGTTCTGATGGGCAGTGGTGGTGCAAATCTATACTTCTCTCAAGAGACTGAGATGCGTGCTGTGGTTTGGTGCCAGCTCAGCAAGATACCTATCTGTAATTTACCATCAGAAAATGGAAATGGAGGCATAGGTCAAGTGGCAAAGCACTAACAAAAGGCCTGGTTATAGTCCCAAGCCCTGAGTTCAAACTCCAGAACCAACACGTACACACACATAAAAAAATTAGAAAGTTGATTGCATAAAGTTTAATATTTTATTGATTGTTTAATAAGGAAAGTTATTATGAATATCACAAAGGTATCAATCATTTGCTTCCCTTTTAATTATATATACATGTATATGTCTACAAAACAATTCAGAGTACTGTTAAATTTATGTCCTAAACGTGCATTTCTAGCAAAGTTAACATGGTTCATTGATTTACTTTAAAAATATTAGCAGAATTAACACAACACAAATACACATTTCTGTTCTACCCCTATTTGACGCTCTCCCTTTCTATATACTAGTGACCATCAAAATGAATTTTCTATGTATTACTTCCAGGAGTACTTTTATTACACATAACTAACACTTAACAAATTAATTTCCATTTTTTAACCTTAAAATAGTTTACCACTGCATAGATCCTTATGAAAATGGTTCTTGTATAACATTTCATTTTATTTCCAGGCAGGTCAAGTTTGTACATTTTTAATTTACATATAATATCTAAGCATATGAAAACACTACATAATTGAAGTTTAGTATGTGCATATATGAAAATATATACAATGACTTCCACTAAACATACACACATATACCAGTAAAAAGTAAGAAAAAATTTGCTTTTTTTATTCCCCTGTTGATATTGATAAATACTTAAAACTTCTCCTACAGTGTTTTCAAGTTTAAAATAGATTTAAAATGAGCACTAACTCATTATTCAAATGTGCTAGATTCCCCAAGACATCTAATTAGAAGAGGAATTTGGGGGATGATTGGTTTGAGTGTATTTAGTTTCGCTTTACATTATGAAATTGTTCTTCTGCATGATTATTTTGATTTTCACACTCCCAAGCAATTAATGCCACTTTTAGTAACATGCAGCCTTTTACTTTTTGAAGAACCCCTTGATGAAATAAATTTCTGTTTTTTAAAAAAATTAATTGATATTCAGCAATGACTACTAAATTACTGTTCATCTACTAAAGTTGGGCACCTACCAATGACATTTATGTGTGTGTTGTGTTTCCTTTGTGTTTAATTTTTACATTTATTTTCTTAATTATCTGCTCTCTGCCACTCTTTCCCCAATTAGTGGAAGTCTTTCATGAATTCTGAATCCTGTTTTTCATTGAGCCACTATAAAACTCCTCTGTCCACGTGTACTCTTCTATCTTCTCTGCCTGTTAATGTCAACTTCCACTGAGGGCACGACCCACACGGAGGGCAAGATGAACACACCAGAGGGAGAAAATCCCAAAGAAACCCCCAATCAATGAGCATGACTACTCAGGAAAATACTTATCTCTGCTCACTCACCCCTTTGGGGGGAATCTCTAGAGCCTGTTTTCCCTGCCACACTGCCCAGGCAGGATATCTGCTTTTTAGATGCCTAACCCCATTGGCAGCTGACTTGACTTTATTACGTTCGGTCCCTCTCTGTAATTTTAATTCCCTCTTATGTGCTTTCTTTGTGCATATGAAAATAAATTTCAAATAAATTTCAGGACCACATATGAAATTATTTGCCTCTTTTCTGTTGTGATACCAAATAAATGCACTTGCATAATAAAAAGGTCTAATCCGTGTCTTTAGATTTTACTTTCCTTTTGACATTCTATGCTTAAAAAAATAGTGAATGTTATTATTGGGTACATATATCAACATTCTTTCTAGTTTACCTTTTTATTGTTTACACTTTCAAAAATTATTTGAAAACCTTACTTTCATAAAGACATTCTTCTGTAGTTTTAATCAATTTAATATGTGTATTGAATTTGTTTAGAATTTATTTCCCTCAATGCTGATGGATAATGTTCTAATTTTACTAGTCTGTTGATGGATGATGAATCAACTCACACCATTCTTGAATGAGCACTTACTTTTTCACTCATTCATGGTAAAGTATGCTTTTATTTGTTATTTTCTACCTGTCAATTTTTTACTCAGTTTTCTTCAGACATATTACTGCTCCTAAACGTATACCAAATTCTCTTTGCTCTTGCCATTCTGCACTGAGTTTTGTTACCTGATAGAGTAACACTTTTGAAAAAACAAAACAAAACTCCACACATGATATATTCATTCCAATCTTTTATTCATAAAGTATTAGAATTTATTCTTCTACTTACATTTAAATATACTGTGTGTAGCTATTTCATTTGAAAATGGAAGAGGTGAGTCTGATCAAAGTACCTTGCATGCATATATCAACATGTCAAAATGAAATCCCTTTGTACAACCTAATCGGTACTAACAAAAATACAAGGATGATTGAATTAATCAATTAAGCAAAGCTTTGTTTCTGAAAAATGTAAATTATTTTAGGTTATTAACAATAAGTTTTACGTGTGAGTTTCCTGCTTGTGAAAGCGTGTGAATTCACTCCTTCGTCTTCTGCCCTTAGAAGTCAAAAAGAACAGAAAAAGAAAACAAAAAACCCTCAAATTCTCTTTGATTTTCTTTTCTTTCTTTCTTTTTTTTTTTTTTTTTTGTCAGTTGTGGGATTTGAACTCTGGGCCTGGGCTCTGTCCCTCAGCTCAAGGCTCAAGGCTAGTGCTCTACCTCTTGAGCCACCGCGCCACTTCAGTTTTCTAGTGGCTAATTGGAGATAAGAGTCTCAGGATATTCCTTCCTGGGCTGACTTTTAACTGTGATCCTCAGATCTCAGTCTCCTGACTAGTTAGGATTACAGACGTGAGCCACTGGTGCTCAGCTCTCTTTGATTTTCTGAACTGTTTTGCTTCTAGATCAGCTATGCAAAGAAAACAGTCATTATTGTGTTTGACTTCCTTGGATTTCAAAATCCAAGGAGCATATTTTCTAAACTCTGGTTCAATAAGAGGGTCTGGCCTATTGTTAGAAATATCATTTATCATATAAGTAAAATGAACTATATTTCCAGGGCTGCAGTGGTGCTTCTGATTTCAATGCATACATTAGAATATTTAACAGCAAATAATTCAATTTAAAAAATGAACAAATATTTTCAATGATACTTATTTATATACTACTTTTTACCAATGGTAATAAAGAAAAACTAGTTATTGCTATTCTTAGCTTATTATAACTTCATAATTTCAGTGTGTTAAGGATTTCAAATCTAGGACTTTCTATTGCTGTCCAATTTTACTAACGGATCTAAAGCAAAATAGTTTACCTTACACTATATTTGGTTTATGTATGTATTTACATCTAATCCTGCACTCATTTTTATTATAGGTGTGAAAGTTCAATGAAAGCTTGAATTTTATTTACCAGAAAAGAGTTTTTGCTTTTCATATAAAGCATATGTCAAAAATCATTAATATGGTTATCTTAACTTGTATTCTTGTTATAATTTGAATATTTAAGGAGATAAGCCTGGGACAAATGAGCAACGTCTTACTCACTTGGAAAATGTTCTTAAAATAGAAACAAATAGCCTATTCCTTTTAAGGAAGCTACTTCTGTATATGTATAATTGTGATTGGCCATATGATACCTTCTTTAAGTGGACTTTACTTTAAGATATATCAATTCCCATTGCATAATGGTCCATTGCATAACTTCACTACTGACATGTTAAGCCTATAAAACTTTTAGTTGTTATAATCAGAGAGAGAGAATATATTAGAGACAATACTATATATACATATATATAGTATTATCTGTGCCCAATTTATTTCTGGATTACTACATCTATACACAAATCAGATTATTTAATAATGACGAGGTTGTACAGGTAAGGAAATCACTGTAAAAATGAAGTGCTTGCACCTAATGACTGTAATCGGTCATGGATTTTATGTTTTTCTCAGTAGTCCTCAAAACGTTAGTCATTCTCTATTTACAGCATGACTTTAAGTTTATTTACATCATCAAATGGCCTGTCTATGTAATTACCATTTACAACTGTAGGTATCTTTACTCATTCATATCTTTTTAAAGATTAACTACTCTTTTAAGCTACTTAACGTACAGAGACATAATGTTGCCAAAAGGATATAGACATCACATGAATACTGACCAGAAAGACTGTGAATTTAGTGATTTTTTTTTCTTATGAGACCTCAAAATTTGATAGAATTGTATCCTCAGTGCCACTTCGCTGATGTGTCTGTACTAAGTAGCGCAAGGCTTCAAAACCAAAAATGGCATCAAAAAGAAGTGTATCTTGCCAGAATCATCCCCTCAGCTCCTACGAAATCATGTTTGCTGCTCTCTTTGCCATACTAATGGTGATCTGTGTAGGATTAATTGCAATATCCTGGATCACGATCGAAGAATCAGGACAAGGTAAGTCAGCACTTGCTTTACTGAGGTGTGTTTCATCTCAGAGGTCCTGCGAATCACTGTATTCATTGGTGGGGCTTCATCACAAAGTGTTTTTATTTCATTAGATGCCTCTCTGGCTTCTCTTCATAGAATAACGGTAGGGAATTTTGAAACTTTATCCAGAATTTGAGCATGAGATTGTTTTTAATTGTTTTAAATGAAACATGTTGTGTTTCACTTCAGCAAATAACACTGTAAGTTTCATACCTGTAGGTTTATTCTCTTACATTTGAAATCATAAATATAGTTAAGCCATTTAAACCATGTTGACTAGAAAAGTTGTAAGGATGAAAGTTAATGAAACCTTATTGCTTATTTATATAGGATAATATCTTTATTTTCTTGTTAGTTCAGGTTTTATTGTGGTTCTGTAAATCAATGGGAATGTAGATGTACAAAAATCTCATTCTGAGTGGCATATAGTGATAAAAAAAAAAAAAGTAAGCCGGCACTATTTAAAACTAATTTCAGTTGTGTCAATGCTTTTCAAAGACATTCAAATTCAATACCTTGCTAAGAAAAGCTTTTGAGCCAGTTGCTTCTTGTAGTACTGCTCAGGAAACAAGGCAATCTCCTACATAGGATTTGCTCAGTTAATTCCCTTTTCCTCCAGTTAATGACAGCTCTTCGTGTTCTATATTTAAGTGTGGAACTTGAAATGCAATCTGAGTCTTTGAATAAATGATATGAATTACAAAAACTTACATCAATTAAATAACAGTAACTCAAATCCAAGTTCATTATTTGTCCCATTAGTACTTCTGACCTGTAGAACTTGGTGACCATGATAGACCTAAGGTTATGGAGTCATGATGTTCAAATTCCAGATCTCTCGGCTAAAGCAATTAATATTTGTGAAAATTCTCTTAGTCATTCTAACTCTTTCCCCATTGTGAAATAGAAAAATTATCATCTTCTCATATCATGTTCCTGTAAGGGTATTGTGTGTCATTTATTACATTTACTAGTGATTTCACCATGATGTGAATTTCAGTGGAAGCTATTCGTTTTCGATATATCACAAACAAAATATTCTGAAAAGATATTTTCTGCAGTGCTCTCAGTAATTCCTTCAATAAAGACAGTCACCATCTCATGCCAAAAATCACGCATGCCAATTTTATAATTCCTAGAATGTCAGAAGTAGCTTCAAAGCGAGGTTTCAAAGTAACACACATACTGAAATCTTCACAGCAATCACATGTAGAAAACCAGCTGTGCTCCTGGATACTTGGGGCTAAAGAAGTATCTGAAAGAAACTACACAACTTTTAATGGCCAATTTCTCCCCATGTTTTTCTGAATCAGTTCCTGTCATTGGGAGAATCTGATTAGTCTCTGTGTCATCCAACAGGAATCTCAATTTTAAAAAACTAGGGGGAAGTTTGTAGTGTGGGTTAGACTTCAAAGAAAAGAGAAGGAAATAATGGAAAATAAATTAAGTATATTTTTTAATCTTTTAAGACAAATAGGTAAAAAAAAAAAAGCAAACAGGGTGAAGGATGGGCAGACAACTGATTTCAAAATGGGAACACTACAAAGAAAGCCAACAGCTACTATAAAAATCAACCTATCAAGCAAGAACTTTATTTCTGTGTTTCAAGACAGAATTTACCTATTATCTCTTATTCGTATTTCACTGTTTGATTTCTAATTCATTCCTCCAGATGAAGAATTGGGGAAAAGTCATCAAACAAAAGGGACATTTAAAATAACATCTGGAGCTACATATAATCCTAATTTGCAAGATGAACTCTCAGTGGATTTCAAAGTCCTTGCTTTTGACCTTCAGCAAATGGTAGGGATTCTCTTCCTTCAGGGGGCTTAAAATTGTATGATTTTTTAATTAACTTATTACTAAAAGATATATAGATTCCATTTTCTCACTATGAAAAATACACTAAATAAATGTAACATGATTAAGATTTTTAAATATGTGAAGTCCCAACTCTATGAAGAAAATTCCCCACTTCTAAGGAAAACATTAAGATCGTCTGAACTTTCTATAACTTTTTGAACAAAATTGGAACTTTCACATTTAACACTTTTAAACCTCTTTTAGATAGACGATATCTTTCAATCAAGCAATCTGAAGGATCAGTATAAAAGCTCTAGAGTTTTACGATTTGAGTGAGTATGATTTAAAACATCACTGATTTTTGTTAGACTTATGAACTAGTATTTTTTTGTCTAAATGTAAAAAGTAGACTCACTGTGTGCAGGAAGAAAAGAAATTCTTCCTCATATTGTGAACATGTTGTGAGAACTGAGAAAAATAATGCAGATAAACATTTATTTCAGTGGCAATTAATAGTAATTTCGGTAACTGATAATATGTTCACATGTTTCTTTTAAGAAAGAACCTTGAACAGACACATGAAGGGTATTGAAGTTGAAAACTTTGCCACAGAGATATATTGTTTAATTTGTTATAAATACATTGAAGAAGGTTGTTCATTATTAATAAAATAATATAGTGTCTTCTAGCTTTATTGTACACACAAGAAAAGGTACTTATTCACTTTTAGACCTTCAAGGCATAAAGTTGTGCTTGAAAACAGTGTTCAGACATGAATCACTCTTAGATTACTAGAATACTGATACAATTTCACAATGGATACTTGACTCTGCAATGTGCCTGTAAGTATGTTTTATGCGTATTTTAAACGTGTGAGCATGACTCTGTGTATGTGCATGTTTGTTTAGATATCAGAGCAGTGAATTCAAGCCTAGAGTTCAGAAATTGTCACACTGGTGTTTATTGACGGTTTCCTAGTGATTATCATCCCCTGTGTGTGTCTTGCTCTACTCATTTCCTAAACTTTCTTAAGCTTTCATAAGCAGGAAAATCCCATCCTTTCTATCACTTTGTTTTCTAACTCTTGCTTTTAACCTTCATAAAATTAACTGACAGAAAACTTTTGGAGGAGAATTTATTCATTGAAGAGTGAAAAGTACCTTATTTACTCCTAATTTTTTCCAGTCATTAAGATGGCATTTCTGTCCAAATTTGGTAGGAATTGACTGTTTTAACAGTAGGACAAAGAGGGAACCAATGTATCAGCGATACCCACACAACAATATGTTGGAAATGGTCTGTACAACTGTGGGGGGAGAGGAGAGGTTGGGGAGAGGAAAAAAAGGGAGAAAAATAAGGAAGGAGGTAACAAGTTCAAAAATAAATGTATTCACTACCTTACTTATGTAACTGTAACCCCTTGGTACATCACCTTGACAATAAAATTAAAAAATAAAAAAGTTACAAAGAAAACGGCCTAATCGTTGCCTTAGGACAAGCTACAAACAAGTTAAAGATGAAGTGAAGAGTCTACAGTGATCATACAATTCATGTGTTAGACATATATCTAAATTTTGAAAGTATGTATGTGTGCGGCAGAATGCCATAGACCAAGATTTAAATGTCAATTTTGTTAGAATGAACATTGTGAGCATGATTTCCTTTCTCTTCTACTACAATGACACATTTCGTCATGATTGCTGCAGCTGAGTCACTTAAAAATTATCTCAATTTTTATTTGATTCAAGCTATTTCCTTGCAGTTTCTGTAGACTCCAGAAGTCAGATTTTCTTTTATCTTCTGAAAACGATATTCAGCTCTTTAAGATAACCTTAAAGTCCTATAAAAATTACATACATTAAAAGAATGTAGAAGACAAAGTCAAAACCATTGCATAATAAATAGAGCCATCTGAATTTGAAATATCTTCCTATATCTTCTAAAGTAGAAAATCGACTCACCTAAAGATGAAGCAAAAGTAGGTACTGTATTTACAAAGTAAGCAAAATATGTCTTAGATTGGCTCTGAAAATTGCCTCAAATATTTGTCCTCTCAACACAGAATTAGATAAATGTTAATTTAGTCATGCATTCATTCTCTCATTTCTTTATTACACAGACATGCTTGCTTGAAACCAGATAATTAAATAAGTTTTGAGAATACACACTAAAAGAGAATATTATGGAGCTTACATAATCATAATTATTCAGATATTCTTTCTTGGGCTGATATATTTAGAACCATTTTATTTTCTTTCCTTTCTTTGATTTGTTGTTGTTAGTTTGGTGGGTAGTTTTTATTTTAGATAGTCCATAAAGTTTTGATCAACAACCTACAAAGAACACCTAAGAGTTAAATGAAAAATATTTTAAAAATAATAATAATGTTAAGCTATACTGAACCTATAATGGCAAAGGTCTAAAATTCCTGCTGTGTATAGCTTAAAATACTATTAGAGAGATACACAAGCAGTGCACTACTTATTGTATAAACAGGTTATGTAACAGTGCAAGGACAAAACATCATTCAAGATGATGTAGTCTGGAATTTGCTCAACTGAGTTGGGCAGCAACGTTGATAGCCTCAAAAGGAAGATAATTTAACTTCTGCAAGAATAGAGTCATAATGTTTGAAATGCATTCTCTCATAAATATCTGACAACAAAATAGGCATCTATTTTCCATGTTTCTATGAATGTCCTGAACACTACTTCTTAGTAATCATAAGTACTGCCATGCTTTTTTTTATGAATTCATTCTAATCACTAGGGGAAAATAATGCTTCATCATTCTCTATCAAGTCTTTGTTTCTCACTTACTGATCCTGGTTGTAGTTATTAAAGTTTTGGAGAATATGTTTTAAAATGAAAGCTATTAAGTAGGAATAGAATTAAGTTTTGAGAACAGGTTTTTCTCCAGCTTCATATCTCATTCATTCAGTATTAGACACCTGCTTGTAAGCTGTCATTCTAAATGCATGTGTGATCCTGCTCTCTGCCTTCTGTTTCCCCTCCCTCTGCAGGATATCTATCATTCATTCCACCCTTAGTCTCCTAAGACACAGTCCATGTCACCTCTCAAATGATGCTTAGCTGACATTCTACTCTAAATTAGACCTTCGCTCCTTTATTCTTTTAGCACATCACACAAACATAGAAGGTACAATACTCAAAACATAATGCACCTGTGCATTTGTCTCTCTTCTACACTGCAGGGGAATGTGTCGGCAGCATCCGTGTTTTCTGAACCTGAACAATGTTTGCCTCAGAGTATTTGCTCTATAAAGATCTGTGATTTGACGGATGGTTTTTAAACACCCATTGTTCAATGGGAAATATAATGAAGAGAGTGGAAAGTTTTAGCTTTTTGTGCAAAAATGTGAATTTACACATTCTCTCCCCCCATGCCTATTCATCGACCAACTACTTTAATATTCTTTGTATCTCTATGGTCTTGGAACCTTAATCTTACTAGCTGGCCCTACAATTATCTACTGTCTTCCCTTCTTCTATAATTTATAGCCCAAAGATCTTATATCTTTTTCCAGTATTTGTTATCCTTGATAACAAATTGTTCCCATATCAAGACTTGAAGGAGACATAAAGAACAACATTGAGATTGATTTATTTTTTGCCTTTTTTCAAAATGCTATTTAAAAAGCGTTCAGTCAATAGTAATTCTATGAGTATAAAATCATACACACAAGGTTGTTTTTTGTTGCCTTTTTTTGGCCCACTTTGAGCTATTTCCGATAGTGGAATGAGTTGAACCAATTTTTCTTTTGTAGATATGTCAAGGATTGAGTCTGTAGAGCTACATTAAAACATCAATCAGATTTCTTTTTGAAAAGATTTATCTTTACTTAGGAAGATATCCCAGATAACTCTCTCCTTCATTGGTTTGTGGCCCCATGGCATCTATACTGGGCGAAGTGGATTTTGTCCTGCAGAATTTATCAGTGTGCTTATTTCTTGCTTGTTTTTTTGTGGAGCCCTTCAAGTTCATATGTATACAATATTTTGGATACCTTCATTTTTACTAGGTTGGAAATTCAACAAATATGGACTCTTACATTGTGAGATTAAAACTCTTGAGACTTAATGCTCTTTGCCTAAAAGAGTTTTATTGTACCAATACTGATGTTATGGAGAGAGGTACTCTGCCTTCAGATAAATTCTGCAGCTGCTGACAGCAGAGTATGTTAGACAGCTCTTGTCTATGGAATAAATTCATGTGAGGAATAACTTAAAGGAGGAATGATTATTTTGGCTTCTGGTTTCAGAGGTTTCGTACTGGAATCTCTTTGCTTTAGGCCTGACCTGAGGCTTGTGTTTAACTGGAATTCCCAGTAGAAGACATAAATACTCCTGGGTTGAAGATTGCTCTCCTGAGCTTCAGATCTCCCCTTATGAACTTTTGAGCCTCCTGAATGAATGACTCCAACTGTTAATTTCATTTTTTTTGCTGTTAGTTCAAGACCCTATGGACTTGGTGGATGATTAGAAAATTGCATAGAAAGCTCCTATCTCCTGCCAGAGAAGTCTGTTTTCCAAATACCATCTTGATGGCAGTGATAAATGTAAGCTAATAAGCTCCTCAAAGAAAGGACTCGGTCAACGCCAAAATATTTCTTCCACCTACATCTCTATAGCAAATGTTGGTTTTTTCCATCTTTCTTGTACAAAGGACCACAATACTCCTGAAAGAGCGAAGTAGTTCAACATTTCCACTAGACAGGATATACTTTAGTAATGCCTTTGCCAAAGTCACGAAGTTTCACGGATCACCAGGAGTAATTCCTTTCTATCTACTTTTAACAAGTTGAACATTGTATTTTGATATAATAAGCTCACAGTTATCTATCAATTTTGTAAAATCATAAACTTTGGCACTAAAGCTTAGTTTATAGAGTTATTTGTTTATGTCACAGTAACCCATTGTGAATATGAAACAGAAAAAAACATAAATTGATAACAGTAAACTTAGAAAAAAACATAAATAGATAGTAAACTTGGAACATACGGTGGCTATAGATGAGAGGGGGGAGACCTTGAAGTGCAGGAAATTTGAGGAGAGGCACTATGTCCAATAGGAGGGGAACTTTATGCTTCAAAATTGATTGGAGTTTGTAATCCAGAAGACTGTACATATACAGGGAGCTGATATTGCTTGAGGTTCTGATGGTCTTCAGAGGATTTAAGTCAATGTTATCCCAAGCAATCAAGAATAGAGGACGGGTTTTGATTGGTTTCTGCCTGTATGTATTAATTGATCAACATCACTTATATCTTTCCTATTCTATTATTTAGAGCATGTTTGTTAAGTAAATTTAGAGTATCTTCAATTTTTTCTTTTTTTCAATATATATGCCTGGTGTGTTGAGAACCCCAGATTAATTTTAATATTTAATGAGAAATATTTTATTTCTCTAGATCATAAAATCATCATTTGAAATTGAAATTTATTTGAGCTTAGGAATTACTTCTTTCCTTTATAGACACCTAAGAAATCAGTATAATGCCCAAACCTTAATAAATACTTTATAATAATTCCAAAGTACATTCTACATGTCATCAGTGTAGAGATATTTTTCCCAGGTGGTGGCTGAACTACTTTTAAGTTGGAAGTGAGTTTTTGAAAAGTTGAATATAAAAGAATTTCACGAAAATGTCTGCATGAACAATTACAGCTTAGTGCTTTGAGGGGCCTTTTCCAAAGGCAGGAAAAGAAATTCAGAATTAGGAGCAAGAGTGAAGGAGTAATATTTAGGATTATTTTAAATAATCACACATGAATAAAAATACTCAGTAATTCATATAAAGCCTTATAATTTTATTTAAAATCTCAATTTATAAAATCAAAGAACAAAAGTAACTGAATATATATTATATATAGCATTATATATTATGCGTAGTATATATTTTATATAATATATTATATACCTTTTTCTTATTTTTTATCAACATAAGTAAATTCACAAGTGTATATACCCAAATTATAGTTCTCAGTATTTTAAACTTAATCACCAAGCTATTTTTTTCTGGCTTTTAACAAATATTTAATACCAACCCTTGCCACTTGCTAATTTGTGGGTGTGTATATATGTGTGTAGCCATTCTGCAGGACAAGCAAGTGATTTGCTTTCCTTTGGGAATACTGTCTGTTCTGCTTTAAGAAACATGTGATTCAGATAGTATTAGCAGTTGACTCTTTTAATATAAAGTACAGTTTACCCTCTGTGGCAACATGCACTTTTGCTTGCCCTTTGAACACAGATAAGTCACAAAGTTAGGAGAGGAAAGACTTTTGTTTATTCAGCAAACTTAAAGGTTATCAATAGCATTAAGGAAAAATGAAGATAAGCATTTTGATCTCTTATACTCAGGTTCTGTGTACAATGATAGGGTTTATTTGCTTAAAGGGAGACAGAAAAAAAGAGAAGAAAGCAGAGAGAGTCACAAAGAGAGAGAACAGACAGGGAGAGAAGGAGACAGAGAAAAGGGGAAATACAGCAATTTTGCTGGAACAAGTAATTGGAAATGATCATTTTTTTCCCTTAAAGGTATAATTCTCATTTGCCTTAATAAACAACATCAATCTCACAGAAGTTGTAGAGGTTATAGTTAAACTACAAAAAATAACAGTTTCAGTTTTCTCATAAAGTGAAACACAAATGTTTATTATGTTTTTCATGATATCTTCAATATATTTCTCATATCTTAACACTTAGAAAAGAAGCTCTAAAGAACAAAACTATATATTTGGATATAAGCTATATAACTTCTGACCTTGCAAAATATAAATTATTAAAAGTTATACATAATTTACAACTAAGAGAACATATCTTTCATACAAATACATTTTAAGCCTGAGGATAATCAATCTAGTTATTTTCAACTAAGTAAAAATTCCAGATTTTCCCTTTCTCTGACCCAAATAACTTACCTCTTTTACTTCCTACCTTAAATAAACTAAAATTAACTGTTGAGTCAAATTGAACATGTAGAAAATGAATAGAGAAGACTCATGTATTTAATTAGAATTAAAACTATCTATTGTGCAATATAGAATAAGTAAAATTTTTGAACTGAAAATTGAGAACAAAAATAGAGATTATGCACGGTTACTCCACTTTAACCATAATTGTTTCTGTATTAAATCATTTGTATTTTGGGTAATGATATTGATTATGGATATAATGTAAATGAAAAGAAAGAGAGGAAGAGGAAAAGATAAAATGGAGATGGAAGAGACTATAAATCTTGAAGGAAAGCAGGGAAACAATATCTTCCCTCTCTCTCATGAAAATGTCTTAGTAGTTATTTGAGCTATATTTTTGGATATAAAAATCTTATAAGAGTTCATCATAATAAAATCTAGACTTGTCTCTAAAGTGCTATAGTATCTTTTGCTTTGGACTAATAGTTCATGATAGTGTTGAAAGAAATGAAATTGTATGTAAGAGGTTGGGAATTATGTAAAACTTTCTCTGAAAGGAATAGGAATAGGTGTTTTATCCCTGACATTAATAAAGTGTATAGCTCTAATTTATTCTGGGTCTCAATGTTATTATCACTAACATGAAAATGTTGGCCAACTATTTCAGCACTGATGGGATGAAGCCTGAAAGTTGAAAGCCAGTTAACTATTGTCTTTTTTTAAATGTCAGTTAACATAAATATGACCCACCAGTGCCTTAACTAATGGGTGTTTGTTTTCTGACATCACAAGAAATCAGGAGGTTTCCATGGGACAATGCGGGACGTGATCAGAGTGGAATCCTGGTGTCCTCTTCCTTCCATTCTTTTCTCTGTGGCTTGTCGATCATTTCTCCCTTCATAGTCCCGAGAAGAACTATAGTCCCAAGTTATGTCAATCATATGTACACACAATAAAATTCAACAATAAGAAAATAAGTGATTCTCTGTAGCCTGTCTTTTATTGAATGTGAAAACACTTCCCAGAAGTTTCCGTCAGTCTTATTATTCCATTGATCAGACTGTCACTTGTTTGTGAATAAAACCATGATTGACATAAGGAATGCCTAAAAATGTCAACTTTTCTTAAAAAATGGAGAGATATTCTCAGATAAAATTCATGACAGACATATGGAAAAGTGAACAAGTATGAAAGACCACATGAAAAATTGTCTGTGACAAAATGTGTTCTTACTGAGGACAGGGAATCCATTCATGTGAATGTCTAAGAGCTTTGTCATTTACAGGACATGGTTACTAAGATATAAGCAAATAATTGCATAAACTAAATTCTAATCACGACTTTACAAAGTTGATGGATATGAAGTATAAAATCATTATATAGAAGTACACAGCTCATTATTTTCTTTAAATCAACTGTATATAAAGGAATAATACCTATTAAATCAAGAATCTTAATCATTGTGACACAGCATAGATAAAGCATATCCTGTCTAGTGGAAATGTTGAACTACTTTGGCCTTTCAGGAGCATTGTTATCCAGTACATAGGTGAAGGAACAAAAACACATTTGCTGTAGATTCTATCAATGCACATGGGAGAAATATTTTAGAGCTTACAAAATCCTTTATTTGAGAAGCTCATTACCTTTCAAGTGTCACTGTCATCAAGGTGATATTTGGAAAAGGAGATTTCTCTGAGAGAAGAATGGAATTCTCAGTTTTCTAACCACCTATCAAGACGATAAGTCTTTGGACTAACAGCATAATTATATGGAAATACTTCAAGAAGGTGACTCTCAAGGTCATAAGGTGGGATATAAGTCAATGAACTATCTTTAACTCAGGAGTATTTATGCCTTCTAACTTGAATTTGTATTTTAAAATAGGTCATCTTGATTTATGCTCATGTGGCAACTTTCCAATTATCCTGTGACATGACTGTTATTTTGGGTCTTGTTTGGGTGTTTTTTTTGTAGTTTAATATATACAAAATCCATGCACTTTCTATTCTTGGACCCAATTACTTATCTAGGGACATTGTATTTCATTTAACACTTGTTTCCTACTTTCCTTGTCATTTACCTAGCTACCCTACATCATAGAGTCTTAATACCTGTATTTTGGAACCAGCAATTATATAATGCAATATTTGACTGTTTTTGGTTAATCTACGAAGGAACAAGTACAACCTGAATATTGCTTGCTTCATGCAGGTATACAATGAAGATCAGAGCTAGAGTTGGCCTTCCAAGTGGTGTAACTTAGAAGGATCATATAAAATTAATAGAAATGAACAAACAAGACAAAAGGAAATGAAAACAAAGATGACAACAGAAAATAACAAAACAGCTTGCTTCTGTCTTTGGGAGGATAAGGGGGAGCAAGAGAATGGTGGGACAAAGAGAGAACAAATGCAGTAGTGTTGCTCACTAGACCCTATGTTGAAAGTGAACTATACAACTTGTGGGTAAGGATGGGAAAAACTGGTAGAGAGTCATATACTCATTACCTGACTTATGTAACTGTAACCCCTCTGTACATCCCCTTTACAATCATAATTAATTAAATTTTCAAAAATAATAGAAATCAAGACAGGAAAGCAAAACTCTGTTCATTGACAGTATCTTACATTCCTCACTATTTTTAAATTAGCAGAGAAACCACAAATTCAGAGCCCTTGTTCCTTCTGTCATTACACTCTAAACAAATCCCCTGACATAATTTGACTGGTTTAATTGGGCACAAGTGAATCTTGGGAACAGCACAGCCCATGTGGATCTTAGAAAACTCGGATTGCAGAGTTTCTTTGGAGTCTGTGCTCTTGAAAAAGTATTTCATGTTTCACTCCTTTAACTTCCCAAGTGAAATAAAGACAATATACATTATCTAGCATATTCACTTTCATCTTTCTTTAAATTGCAAATGAAATCACTGTATAAAATGTACATTATAGATCAAGGGTTATAACCACTTTATACTAGTGTAATGAGGGTTAACAAGGTGATAACGAAATTTTCGAAGACATTTTACATGAACTGAGCACAAATCACTTGAAGATGACTGACTTTTTCCTCTTATATTGTCTTTTGCTTTGCAGAAATGGCAGCATTATAGTCCTATTTGACCTTTTTTTTGTTCAGCAAGTATCAGATGAAAATGTAAAAGAAGAACTGATTCAAGGCATTGAAGCAAATAAATCCAGCCAACTGGTCACTTTCCATATTGATTTGAACAGCATTGATATCACAGGTATCTGAGAACATTATTTGATTTCCTTGAATCATTAAGCTATGAAATTAAGATTCTAGCAGTGTACCTGAGAAGTAGCGTGATCATCTTTGGCTTCAGGAGCATATCTTATTGCCTGAGGTAACACATTTACATGAGAAAAGTAGAAATTGGAGAAACTGTATTTGAAGAAAAATATTACAGGGAAAAAGTTTGTAAAATAGCAAATATCAAAAATGGTTCTGAGAATGATGGCATGTATAAATATTTGTGAATCTGGTCCTGGCTTGGGATTGGGTCAAGAATACCCCGACTTTGAAGGAGACTTCTTTCAGAAAGCAATACTTAAGACATTCTAAGCAATTCATAGACCTCATTAGGTTACAAATTCAGGGGTTAACCCAGTTGAAAAGATAAAAGATAAACAAGAAAGGTCTCATCAGGTAGGCTCATCCAACCTCCTTGCTTATAAAAAAAATAATTTTTATTTTTAAAATGGCAGATCATTTTTGTAAAGAGAATATACTAAAGCAGAAGAGGATTAAAGTATCAAAAGTAATATCCTTGATGTAATTGTGGTTTTGCTATGAAGTGTCCTCCCAAAAGACTTATGTCTCCAGAACTTAGCACACAGCTTTTAGCTCTATAGAGCCATGACTGAATCATGAGAGCACTGGCTTCGTCAATGGTTTAGACCACTGATGAATTCTTTCATAGCTGACTGGTCCAATAAGAAGTAGAACTAAACTGGAAACACTAGATCCGTCGGGGCATGTCTTTGAAGAGTACAACCTCCCTCATCCCTCTTTTTGTCTCTCTGTCTCTGTCTCTGTCTCTCTCTCTCTCTCTCTCTCTCTCATTCTCCAGTGTGTCACTACAATAGAATGAATAGAAATGACATAAAAGCAGACAAAAATAGTATATCAAAAATCAAACAGGCCCTTTGAACAAACATTCTAGCTGAACCTAATGTTTTATAGCATCCTTTAAAACCAGTGTTAATTCAATTTTACATTATTCTAGAATCTTCGGGGAACTTCCCTACTATAATCCCTACAACAACTTCAGGTCAGTATTTACAGCATTTCTTACTACGTGTATTACACTGATTTTATTACAGTTATTACATGGTGATCATTAAGCTTCCTACTAAGATCAGATTTGTTTTATTTCTGTAACACTTTCTGATAGTCTCTATATTTAAATACAAAAATCAGATAGTTGCTTAGGAATAATATAATAAGCTAATAATATCACAGACTATATAATTACATAAGCCCAGGATATGCAGTTCTAATTTCATTACTACTCTTGTATTTCTAATTTTTATTTTGCAGGCAGGAGGAGTACATGCATGTGTGTGTATGCGTAGCATCTCAAAATATGACTCAGACATATGGCTGTATAGGTGAATCAATGGCATTTATAAGATCACTAGGAATGAGAAAGTGTCCAAAAGCTTTTCTAATGATGACATTCAAAATGTATTAGCCAAGCACCAGTGGCTCACGCCTGTAATCCTAGCTACTCAGGAGGCTGAGATCTGAGGATGGTGGTTCAAAGCCAGCCTGGGCAAGAAAGTCTATGAGACTCTCCAATTAGCCACCATAAAACCAGAAGTGGTGCTGTGGCTCAAGTGGTAGAGTGTTTTCCTTGAGCTGAAGAGCTGAGGGACAGCGCCCAGGCCAAGTTCAAGACCCACAATCACCACTACCACCACCACCCCCACCACCACCAACAACAAAATTGTATTGCAGTCTCTGGAAAGGAGAATTCAAAGCTCAATGTCAATGTCTCTTCACTGGATCTCTCTAACTTCAAAGTTTACTAATACTTAGGACTTCACTAGGTGTCATCAATCTTTCACCACTACTCAAAGAGTTCTCCTTCAAAATTTATCCAATATTTTTAGAATTTGCCTAAGTTACCTTGTATGTAAAATGTTTCTGCAATAGGAAAGCACAAATACCAACCCTGTTTCTGACAATGATAAAAATTAGTTGTTATATCCTTTCATCCCTCTAAAATTAAACATCACAGGAATTATGGATATAGACAGTTTTCCAAATATTTCTGGTGTCATCCTGAATAGCAACTTCACGTATAATTATTTTAAATTTCAAATGGTTATGAAATAACCAAGATAATACTTTTGGAATCAATCATTGTGACCATGTTTTCAAACACTATAGTGTTTTTTTTTAAATGTCCACCTAATCTAGGTAATATATTTTGTGAACATTTAATCATGGTGTTCATACTGACTCTTTGTGAAAGTGACATATTTACCAACTTAAAAAATATAAAGAATGCTATGTGCCAGTGGCTAATGCCTGTAATCCTACCTACTCAGGAGACTGAAATCTGAGAATCATAATTTGAAGCACGACCCATCAAACTTTTATATCTAATTAACCACCAAAAACTGGAAGTGGAGATGTATTTCTTTTTCTTTTCTTTTCTTTTTTTTTTTTTTTTGGTCGGTCGTGGGGCTTGAACTCTGGGCTTAGGCGTTATCCCTCAGCTCTTCAGCTCAAGGTGAGCGCTCTACCACTTAAGCCACGGTGCCACTTCCAGTTTTCTAGTGGTTTATTGGAGATAAGAGTCTCAGGAACATTCCTGCCCAGGCTGGCTTTGAACCATGATCCTCAGATCTCACCCTCCTGAATAGCTAAGATTACAGGTGTGAGCCACTGGCACCCGGCTTTGAGATGTATTTTTAGGGTGGAGTGTTAGCCTTGAATACAAAAGCTTAGGGAAAGCTCCCAGGCCCTGAATTCAAGCCCCAGGACCAGTAAAAAAATGAAGAAGGATTCTGTGACATATCTAAGGTCACAAACTGTTCCAAACTATCAAGTGTTATTCTCATGAATAAAAAGTAATTTCTTCTGATAGTGGCCAAGGTCTAAGCATACCACATACTTCTACTTACAATGCTTCTTTTTTTAAATACATTTTTTTATTATAAAATACTGTACAGAGGGGTTACAGCTACATGAGTAAGGTAATGAGTACATTTCCTATCAACATTGTTACCTCTTCCTTTGTTTTTCCCCTACCATCTCTTCCCTTCCCATCTCCCCAACTCCTGTTTAAACTAGAGACTTTACATTCAAAGCCATTATAAAAATCAATGAGTCTGAAGATTAACTTAATGGTCATATATGATATCTTCTCTATTTAGAAAATAAAAGTTGAAGTAAAGCATTTTAAAACCTATATTTTACATTGGTTATAAATAAAATCAATGGGTAATAAATATGTGAACTGTTAGGCTTATTAGTTAGATTTAATCATTCCAATTTAAAAGCATGCATCAAAACATCATGTGACACACAATTAAGTACTCACAATTATTTATTAATTGAAAATAAAATTGTAAAAAATTAAAAGCAAACAGAAGGCTTACTTTTTAAATCTAGATACAAATAATCTATGTTAGACAAATGCACTATACACACACATCACAATAATTCACAATATCTTAAAACTAGGTAACATAAAAGATGATAGGGGAAAAATAAAGTAGGGGGTAACAATGCTCGATAGGAAATGGACTCATTACCATGCTCATGTAACTGTAACCCCTCCATACAATATCTTTACAACAAAAAAAAATAGGTAACATAGTTAAAAGTAGTTAAAATATTAAGTAGAAAGTAATAATTTCCCAAGAAAATCTTCAAAGTATGAAATCATTGTTTTAATATTATTTATTCTTACAGACAGGCCAATAACCAACCATCCCCCTGCAACTCCAGGTAACTCTTGATCTTCTTCCTATTTTGCCTCTTTAGTTTTTACTTGTTTCCACATTTTAAGCATCAGCTAGTTGTTCCAGGGGTTTCGTTTTGACATGTTTATATTTGTGTTCAATATACCTTAAATCAGAATCATTCTTCTTTCACGCTCACTTTTCCCCAAACCATCTCAATGAGATAAGTATTCCATTTTGCACAGGTGCAAAAGGTATTTTCACCATCTTTTCCCTCTTTCAACTTCTCCATTCTTCCTCCCTTCTCCCTCTACTACCAAATCAAAGACAGGACCTGTTTTACATCGCAGTCTTTCATTTATTTTTGAGTGAGTGCTGGGTTCAGATGTAGCCTTGGTGTGGGATTTCTTTAATCAGATTGGGCCCCCTCCATGACTTTCCCTTCACTTTCTCCATCCCTGCTATCCATAATATTCAATAATTTTGAATGAATTTTGTTGTATTATTCAGTAGATTTCAGTGAGTTTCATTTTGCTGTCTTCACAGTTAAGTTGACAACCAGCCATCCACCAGCAACTCCAGGTGAGTTTCAATAATGTAATTCTCCATGTTTTAAAATTCTTCATTCTCGTTTTATTTTAGGCTCCCTAAAAAATCATCTGAGAGCACAGAAGTTCAATACTATCAATATTCTCTAGAGAATTGGGCTTTGAGGCTCATATTTACTAAAAGTGAAATTATGTTATGGGTTAATGCCTAGGTTATGTTACTTCATTCTAGCCCTCTGAGTTTTAGAATCATGGTTATATTCAATTTTTCAAAATGCCATCAATAGCGCCAAAATGTTTTCTGACAATGATTCAGCATCATCAGATATAAAAGATTTTGTTCTTTCTGTTATTCCCTTTGTGTATGTTAGATATGATTACTCTCTCTTGCTAAGGAGCTACTGTTGACAAAACCACTGCCAAACTAGGTCTGGGTTCATTCAGTCAACGTTTCTGTAACTAAGTGTTCACTTGTGCCAGCTCCCATTAAATATCTTTGATGTGCCAATTTCTCTGAACTTCTAGTAATTTGTCCTACATGTTTTTGTCTATCTGCCAGTCAACTAGAATGCTTTCTCTGGTCTTGATTTAATCTTTGTGTTAAATAGCCTATGTGTCACCTGAAACCTGTCAAGCAAACTCAGCCAGGCAGCACTGTTTAGACCTTCAATAAACTCCCAACAATAATACAATGGTGCCCAAATTCATGAAGGACAGACTCCAGTGGAGATTCCTGAAATGTTAGGTAGTACAAGCTTTTTTACCTTATGATGGTATGAAAATATACCTATGTAACTATTAGTTTTTTTTATTTTCAATACAATCTATTTACAAAACATCTAACATATTATTATAAAATGGGGTTGTGTTAGATGTCTCCTAACTGTAGGCTTATGTCAATGTTCTGAGCATATTTGGTTGAGTTAAACTATAATATTGGTATATTAGGTATAGTGAATGCATTTTGACTTAAAGTATTTGTAAGTAATGATAGGTTCATCAGGGTATAAATTTATTGTAAATGAGGAGGCATATATATGTGTGTGTGTGTGTGTGTGTGTGTGTGTGTGTGTGTGTGTGTTTGTGTATTCTCGTATATACAAACCTATGAGAAATCTATAACTTCTTTTATAATATTTTTAAAAAGCACTTTACAATCTCTCTTTGGCATACTGAAGTTTCTAGTATCAGTACTCTTGTGTTTGGAGACCAATATTGAAGAGTTACTTGGGATGGGAACATGGTTGAAGTAGAATAGTGCCCACCATTAGACTCTGGATTCAATTCCCAGGGAAGTCACCTGACCACAACTACAGTAATACTGAAATAGTTTGGTAATGGAGTCGAGTCTTAAGTGACGCTACAGGTACCACAGACACATGGGGAAAGACAAATCACAGCTCTTCTGACAGCAGAGTGGCCAGACGCAACATGGTAGCATATTTCTTACCATGGCATACAATTTAAAACATGGGGATTTTTTTTTCTGGAGTTTTCTATTTCAAATGTTCAGGACATAGTTACCAAGTGTTTCTGAAAAACCTAGAAAATGAAACCACGTATACATGGCTACTACTGCAATCCTATTTGTATAGTGTTAAAATGTACAGCACACAGTACATGCCCCCTCTTTGTAAGAAGGAATGATTCCTGTGAAAGACAGGATGGTGTGATTCAAAGCAGTTACGTGAATCATTGATCAAAATGCTTTATGAAGCAATTCCTCACAACTCTAAAGCCCACAGATGTCTACGGGGCAGGAGGAACCCTGCCTGACTTGTATTGAAATACATCCACAGAGAACCTTAACACACTGAAAAGCTCATTGAACCTACATGTCCTTCTCCAATATAAAAAATTTCTTACAGTATCTTTAATACATTTTCAAAAAACTCCTTTAAGGATTGATAGTGACTAATTCCATCAATTGGTGGTATAGCATAAATCAAGCACACAGGCCTTGGCAAGCTTTAGAGAAAAAAATAAAGGTAGCATAAAATTCTCTATCATTGACAAGGCATGAGTAAACCCTCCCATTTCTTCTTTTTACAAATCCCTGCACATACGTTTAGCAAGCTGTTTGGTGTCTTTGAACTGTATATTAACGATGGGGAAAATCAAGATTAATATATATGTCCAAGACAGTGACTGAGAATTTAAAGACGGATAATATAAATTCTGGTCAGCACACAGGAAAGACATAATGTATGAACATTAATCACTACTATACAAATAATAGGAATCTGAATTATAAAAGTAAAATATCAAAAATAATAACATGCTGCTTAAAAAAGGAATTGAGTAAGCTTAAGATGATGACCGTATTTTGTAATGCTTATTTAAATCAAATCAATTAATTAAACTAAAAAATATTAGTTTCTCAGCATTCCCTGCTATTGGAGAATATACTGAATTAACTATAATTGATTCTCAAAGAGTTCTCAAGGTAAGAAGATGAAAGGTATCATAGTCCTGTTTTAGCTAAATCCAAGTTCTATGTTAGTTCTGAATTATACGTCTCTCATTTATCCCTCTGAATGCAGTAAGATACTGTAGATTTATAGAGGGGAATGAGGCAATTAAACTTGAAAACTGCAGTTTCCAAGCAGTAATTTATTATGAATATGCCTTTCAGGGATGTTAAGTTTATACTCATTTTTATATGCCTGGAAGATAGAGTTTGAGAAAAATCAACAAACGCATGCATCATATACCTGGCATCCGTTCTACTATAAATTCTGCCTAAGAGTATTTTTATGTGATAACAGGTACAAAGTCCATGAGGATTGTGTTCTGTTGTTCAGATGCCTTTGTTGCCAATTATTGTAAAGTTTTACTAACCCACTGGAATGCCGGAGGAGAGAGGTAGGAGCTAAGGTCGCATTATACAGATTGATTTCTTGGCTGCTGCGGAGTGCCAGGAGGGGCCGTTTGGGGCAATTGCTCATATGCCTGAAGGGTTTCTAGTCTGAAGCTTGTTCTAGCCCTTTGTTGCTGACTGGGCAAACAAGGATTGCAGAAAACACAGAAGTTTCGCTGTCATAGGCTTTCTCCATTTCATACAAAATGCAATCTTGCTGCAATTCGACTATGTGGAAGAGTTTGGAGATGGAAGGAAAAGTAATTGGCTGTTTCTGAAGAGCATATTGTTAGACCAAAAGAACCTAAGGAAGAATTATGACCCTTAGTTTAATTGTACCAGGACTGACAAGCAGGGACTTTATCTACTAACAAATGTACTGTGATGGGGCATTGGAGGAAACTATGTTTATATATTGCTAAGCCATCTCTTCTAATTTAAGACACTCCTACTGACAGGATATCAGGACTGCAAAAGAAGCTTGCCACTGTAATTTCATTTGGATTGAAATGTAATAGTCTTGCTAATAAGACTTCATTTGTTCAATCAAAGTAGATGAGAATTTTTAGAAGGAGCTATCAATTTTCTAGTACAGTGTGGCGAAATGAAATTGGTCTCTAAGGCAGACATCTGGGGTCTGCTTGCAATACAATGAAGCTTCTAGAATCTTGAGGTTAATTTTTCCCAAATAGTTTTGATCACCAAGTGCTATTATCCCCACTTGAAGGAAAAAGAAAATAAATACCTAAGATTTCCAAAATATCATTTTTAATTTGTTCTCTTATGTATTACATTGCTTGTCAGTGATAAGATATTAAACACTGGATTTTAGACTTTTTATCTCCCATAAAGCTTGCACAGGTTTGGTACAAAATATTTCCAGAAAGTTCCCCATCCCACATCACTAGACATTGGTTTGACTTTGCATTACTCTTTGGTAACCACATTTGAGTTTACCATGAATCTCTCCTGATAAACTCTAAATAGATTGTTAAATCTTTTTATCAAGATAATACTGATTTACTGTGTGCTTTCATAATAGGCAAAAAATCAATTAGCTTGAAGAAAAATACCAAACAGATATAAAAATATGTAAAAGTCTTTTGTTTTTACACTAAAATTAACAGTGTCTAATATTCTAAGCCTCTAACAAGCTAACCCAGATATTACTCTCTTTCTGTACATTTATTGGGCTAAAATTCATTATTTCTTAATCTTTTCTCTTTTTAGAAATACAGCTATGGTGCTGGACTTTGTGGTACATACATGTAATTCCAGCTACTCATGAGAAGCAGAGAGGGTTAATGTTTGAGGTCACCTCAACTCTTTTCAGCCGATAAACGCCATTGTGACTAAAAAGCAGCAGTAGTTCAACTTCCCATCACTTTGCTCCCATTTTCCTGCCTTCTCTGGTCTTGATCAGGGCTGCATTGGATCACTGAAACTCTTTACTTCTGTATAATGATAATTCATTCCATGGACCATCAGTGAGGAAATCAGCCTGCATCTGTTTTTATCTGGAATATTAACTAGCTTCTCTATTGATCTATTCTAAATTCATCACATGATTCTCCACAGGTGTCCAGAAATTGCTTTTATAAGACATATCTTATATATGTCTTATCACATTCATACAGGAAAATTTTCAATGCCATTGGGTATAGTGAAATTGTTTCTAACATTTGCCAAAAATGGAGGGTCCTCACAAAACTGGCACCAGACTCCCTTCGATGATGACTCCCAGAATCACCCTTCCATGCAGATATGTACATTCCATGTATCGAAGTGTTCCTGTCACCCTGTCACAAACACTTCATATACTTTCTCCTATGTGGTACTTATGGGCATCCTTCAAAATCGAGCTGAAAGAAGACTTACTTTAGGAGTATTATTTAAATCCCTACCTCAGATGGAAATGAATTCTCTAACCTACGGTGCTCCCATAACACTTTTTTAACCTATTAAGAAAATAGTTAACTCCATAAGCAAGTGCCTTACACATCTTTTTATCACCATCTGTTAAAATGGCACAATACAAATAAGTTGACCATAAATATTTGTGAAGAGAATAAATCACTGTTTGTGAGACCAAAGGACCCATAGTTTTATCCCTTAATATGCTGTTGGCATTATTAGACAAGAGAAAGAGCTGAAGCATGAGGAGGCAAAGCTCTCATGAGAAGCATTTGGACACTCAAAAATTATGCATTTTCCTGGGTAAGTCCCTAAGCCTCGTCTTTCAAGTGCTGAATACATAGAATTTTATTAGCTACTGTTAAACTAAGGCAGTCAAGTAGAATGCTGTTACTCATCTATTTATTAAGCACTGATGAAATCCTATCAAATATTATACATTTTCTGGATTAGAACTCAGTGATTAACACCTCTGGATGAATAGATCATACATATCAACAATTGCAAAAATACATTTGAATTTATTAAGTAGCATTTTCATCATTAATTTTTAGTCAGCTAAATGAGGATATTCTGCCACTTGAGACTAATTCAGATCTTTATGTCTTATTTTAGGATTTCTGTGTTCCAAGAATTCTCAAATGGTTACTCATTTGAAGGAGACCCGGTTATCAGCATCTAATTTAGTTGTCCATATATGAAGCAATGCTGCCTATAAATATTTTTAATCAGCTGTATTCTTGGCAGAGTCAGTGATACAAATACTTTACTTTTTTCTAACTAATTTGGGGGAGCATAAATTTCAGAATATTTTAATTTTTTAAAAACCCAGCAGATGGCAGTACAGTTCTGGCTTTAAGGTTAAGAAAAAAAATGCTATTGAGTTTTGAAAAAAATAATCAAACCCTTTAAGCCATTATTATTCTAGTCACAGAAAAAAAAATACTAAGTTCTCCCATAGCTCTGCAAAACACAAACAGTGTCTTATCTTGTGGACATCTAAAAGCATGTCTTATTTTTAATTACTCTTAAAATTTCTGAGTTAGAGGAGATGGATTTGTTCAAAGTATACTATGAGTGAATATGGAAGTATTACTATGAAACCATCTTGAGCTACAAATATATGCTAATTCCAACACAAAAGTAAAATGCCTAAGGATATTTGTAGAAGTAAGTTATGCTTCTTGGTGCTTTGCTATATCTACATATGTACAATTGGATAGTTGAAAGATAAGATAATTGAAAATTGATCAGGTCCTGGCAGAGTATGACAGAGAACCCTGCAGGGAGTATTTGGATGGAATCTTCTAAGAACCTGTATGTCAGGAATCAAAAAAGAGATGAGGGACAGGAATAGCCATTGTATTTCTCCACTGCTCCAAAGCACTTAAATGCACTTAGAATTTTAAGTGCTTTATCTTACTTTAAAATGACTTTCCCTGGCATAGTTGACTCTTCACAATACATGTCTCTGCTGAAGTTACTTTATTTTCAAACAATAAATTGTGACTAGATGAAACTGGCTACTAGCTGCCATAGAAAATACGATGCGATTGCTAATAAATTGCCCCATATACCACAACAATGTTAGGAGCTACAAATAGTAGGAACAAAATGTGTAACCTATGGTAGTAATTTATCAAAGTTAAGATAAAGTAAACATTTACAGTGAAGATCTATGAAGAGATACAAGGTTTTTTTTTCAAAATTTAAAATCCTATATAAGCTTAACAATGAATGATTCATCAACTGAAGTAAATATTTGTAGTGGAAATTAAAGTACATTCTTGTAAGGACCTAATAAACAAACAACACAAAACAAATATTCAGACCTTACCAGTTGTCTACTAGGAAAGAAGTTTACAACTTAAATGTTTTTTTGGTTTTAAGGAAATGTCTCTATCGAGTGCCCAGCTGGTTCAAGGCCTTGTGGTGCTGATGTTCCAAAGTGTATAGCCATCAACTTATTCTGTGATGGAGAGATAAACTGCCCAGATGGTGCTGATGAAGATAAGGAACTCTGTGGTAAGGTCACTCCCAAGCTCTCTTTCTCCCCTCAAAGTTCAACATTCACACAGGTGCACCAAGATCTCAGCTAGCAGAAACCACTGAAGAATAAGCTTTCCTCCTAGCCACATGGATCATTAAATACAAGCTCTCAGAGCTGCTTATACTACTGACCTAAATTTTATTACATAGTATTGGACATGCTGATTAATGTTACAGAATTTCATTTGATGACAATGTATTCTCTGATTGGCAGTGCTTGTAATTCCTGTGGAGAGTGTTACTGTTTGGGGGCTAGGATTACAGCAATAAGTTCCATTTTACTCAAGGATAGTGCTCTACTACTTGAGTCACAGAGCCAATTCCGGCTTTTTCTGTGTTTCATTAGAGTTAAGAGTCTCACAGGCTTTCCTGCAGGGCTGGCTTCGAAGTGCAATTTTTTTTAATTAAACACCTCAACAGTGAATTGTATGCAGTCAAGCATGATTATATACTTTATATATGTTTTCTTTTTGTTTATTTCTTCATTTGTAACTGGGATCCATTTAGAAACATTTACTAGAAATCAGTAGCTGTATAATTTATTTCTGTGTCTAAGGTAGCTAAGCATGATTACCACAGAATTATAAATACAGATTAGGAAGCAATGGGGAGAACAATTTGGGTAAGTGTAGCCTATAATTCCTTTTGAAAAAAACTTAACAGAAAGCATGAGTTGCACATTTAGGGGGTGTGGTTTATAATCCATTTAAAAATTGACGATGCCTGAAATGGTAAGTACTGGAGTCATTGTTGGCTCCCCTTCTCCTTCTATTATTCAATACAGTTTTCCATGTGATGTACACTGACAATGAAAGCTCCAATAAGAATCAACATTTAAAGCACAATCTATCCACTCAGTGCAAATTGTGTAAGATGGGCAGTTGGTCCACTTCCCAGTAGCAACTCAACAGAAGCCTTCTTTCCTAAAGAGACCTCCACTCAGCACTCCTGATTCAAATGTTCTTGGATATAATTCAAACCTACAAAGTTTAACTACTTACTCTGAAGTGCACTCAGAATATATTGGAAGAAAGTGCAGACTATGGAATATTTCTAATCTATTTTATATAACGAAGTTACTCACAGAGGAACAAAGTGATCTTTTATGTTATGGTTTTCAGGCATTTTCTTAACTCCTTGCAGAAAGAATATGATACAAGTGTGCCATCATGAGGTAACAAAGATGTGCTGATTGCAGTTTCAAAAATAACAATATATAGCCAAGTAAGAAACATAGCACTAAGGCAATACGATAATTGGAAATGCAGGAAAAAAATACATTAGAAGAATCAGAAATTTTGACATAGCTATTATTTGAACTCTATACTATGAATTTCTAAAATTTCATAAGGAAATATCTATGTAAATAAAAAATTAGTCATAAATGTTATATAAGGATCATCATTTTATCTCAAAATAAATTTCAAAACAAAGAATTAGCTGGGCTCTGGTGACTCGTTCCTGTAATCTTAGCTACTCAGGAGGCTGAGATCAGAGGACTACAGTTTAAAACAAATCTAGGCAAGAAAATCAGAGAGAAACTTATTTCCAATTCACTATCAAAGAACTAGAAGTCTAGCTGTGACTCATATGACAGAGACTAGCTTTGAGCAATAGGCTCAGGGACCAAGCCCAGGGCCTGAATTCAAGCCCTAGGACTAGCAGAATAAATAGGAAAAGAAAGGAAGGAAAGGGAAGGGAAGGAAAGGAAAGGAAAGGAAAGGAAGGAAAGGGAGGAAAGGAAAGGAAAGGATTATTTTTCTGAGCAATATGTTTCCACATTACAGATGAATTAAATTACTACTTCCGTTTTAAATGCATATATCAAATTACACCATGACTTACCTGTGTTAGAATGGATTTATGCTTTAAAGTTCACTAACACCAAGCAGTTCATGTCACTTGCTCTCTTAAGCCTATTTGTCCTCATTTTCCATTTTCTTTATTCCATTATCTTTATTCTGGGCTTTATTCTCTATCTTTTTCATTGTCTTACTTTAAAGTTAGTATTGTATCTGTTTGTGGGAAATATTTTTAAGTCCTTTGTGAGAAAAGACAATGAAAAACTCACATACATTAATATTATCCAATGAAAGTGTAAGAATACAAGGGGTTTTCTTTTTGTAAATTTTAAGTAATTCATATTAATCATTCATAGTAATGAGCTTAAAAGCCTAAAACCTAAACTTTTGGTAAGAAAATTTCTACCTCAAAGATTTTACTTACCAATCTATATTCACAGAATGATCCATACAGCACATTTAATTGACCTTTGATCTCTCCTATTTATTTACTTTGCTCCAGCTGTGAGGTCTAATTCTGGTTATGTTATTAATAGAGTGCATTAATGTTGACTTCCTCTCATGGCTTCCTATTTTTAGTGTTTGGATATTTAAATTTGAATAACGTATAGCTGACTATAGCTAAAACAAGATTTCTTTAAATTGTTTTTCTCTTCTGATTAGAATAGCATCAGCAAGAAAATTCACTTTTTAGCTGACCTATAAAAAGAAAAGATGCTGACTCACAGCCTTTAGGCCAAGGTACAGGGCTATCTTTCAGTTGGCAAGTGTCCTCTTCATTTGCATGTCTCAAATGTGTGTGCCTAACAGACCTGCTGCTGGTGGGAAGTTTTGATTTGTGTATCTAGAAAATTCAGTGTGCTGAACAGACAGTAAACAGTGAACCAGCAGAGGGAGCTATTGGTGAATCCTGCTTAGAATTCAGGCCCTTAGGATACAGAAACATTTCACAACATGCTGTGGAATGGTTGGTATGGACAAATTCCTTTGTCTCCTAGTCAGAATGTTGTTTTTAATGCTGTGGTAGAAAACACTAAAAAGTCTACATAGTAATAATCTTGAGTCCCCACAAATACTAATTCTTGTGTTACACATTTTAAGCCTGAAATATTATTTCTTATTTCATTGTCATATATAAATTTAATTTCTCTAGAAATACCCTTCAGTTAAATATATATATATATATATTCATACGAAAGATATTTACAGAACATTATATCATGAAATGATATTTTGGCATTCTGTGCATTTCTATTGTAAGTAATTTAATACTGATACAATTTTATTTTTAAATTCCTAAGGTAATAATATTCTCTCTATCTTGATTTGTTTGAAGGAATTACCACAGGACAATGAGAACAATTAGAGCTTTCATTATGAATTCACATAAAAAGTTGCAACTTCATAGAGAACTGGACAAATTGATCATATTCTTTAGAACAGACTGGCATAATAATTTTAGTCGTGTTTCACCTACATTTATTACCTTTTCTATTTAGCATCTATATTGTCATTCAAGAGATATGACTGAATACTGGCTATAACTTTACAGTCAGGAAACGAGTTCCCTTTCTGCCATCTACTTCTACCCCAAATCCTTTACACCATCTCTTTCCAAACTGCTCATGGGCAACTAAAGAATATTCCAGAATGTCTTTTTAGAAACTACATTTATGTATGTAGTAAATAGGTTAGAAGAATTGTTTTGAAAATTCATCAGTTTTGTTATTTTGTAAATTATTCTCTAACTTATAGTTAAATAGTATATTTAAATATATTTGGGGGGGGCGGTGAGGGGTCGGTTGTGGGGCTTGAACTACGGGCCTGGGCACTGTCCCTTAGCTCCTCAGCTCAATGCTAGCACTCTACCATTTGAGCACTTCTAGTTTTCAGAGTTTATTGGCCACAGGAGTCTCGTGGACTTTCCCGCTGAGCTGGCTTTTAACCTTGATCCTCAGATCTCAGACTCCTGAGTAGCTAGATTTACAGGCTTGAGCCACCAGCCACTCTGCTCTACCCTACTACTTCTGATCTCAATCCCAACTTTCAAGTGCCATTTGGTTGTATTGTGAGTTCATTTTTTGAAGGATCTAAGCCATTTGAATTCTCCCTTGCAAATACTATGCTCAGGTTAATATATGCAAATTCTTAGCCTTGTCTTGTTTGTTCTAACATTATATATATATACATACAATATTTAACTTTCTGCTTATTCTTATGGAGAGCTATGTGACCTATATCCTATTTTCACATCATGGGCACAGGTGGGGCATTATAAAGTTCCCTGCTCCAGTGTTCATTTACACCCTCTCCCACTCTTCTGCTTGCCTGCTCAGAGTGAATAATGTCATCTCTTGTTAACTCCTCTACTGCATTATTAGGAAATATGGCACAGTAAGATCTGAAAGAATGCTTAGCTTTGAATTCTTGCTTACAAACTGGGAGATTTTTTGTGGTAATTACTTAAGCTCCCTAAATCCCAGGATTCCTTCTAACTGGAATTTTTCTGCAGCCACATCTTGTGATGGCAGATTTTTGCTGACTGGATCTTCAGGGTCTTTCCAGGCTGTGCATTACCCACCACTAGCTACATCATCAAGTATCGTTTGCCAGTGGATCATACGGTAAGATGCCCATTTCTATGCCCTAGTCTTCAGGCTTAAAGTCTATCCTGATATAAAGATATATCACATAGAATAGTATATTTAAAAAATTATTATTGGGGCTGGGAAGGTGGCTCAGTGGTAGAGCGCTTGCCTTGCAAGCCTGAGGCCCTGGGTTCGATTCCTCAGCACCATATAAGCAAAAAGAAAAAAAGCCGGAAGTGGCGCTGTGGCTCAAGTGGTAGAGCGCTAGCCTTGAGCTGAAGAGCTGAGGGACAATGCCCAGGCCCAGAGTTCAGGCCCCACAACCAGACCCCCCCCCCAAAAAAAATTATTATTGTTTTCATTAGCTCTAAGGTAACAAACTGACAAACTTTCCAAAGCATTAGTCCCATTTTTAATCTTTTTTAAAATTTTATTTTATATTGGGATTATTATGTACTTGTATAAAAGAGTTATAATTCCCTAAGACTGAATATGTGTGCAATGCTTCTTGACAAAACCACTTTCCTTCCTGATTTCACATTTTCTCCCTCCTGTCCTTACCACAAGCTATATCACTCATTTATATATAATGTACAATGTTTTGTCTAATAAATAATGTCATCTTATTAGGTTCTGAAGCAAGCTTCATTTTTCAATTTATTATTTTTGTTGCCTTTTTAGTTATCTAAGGAATTTTCCTATAATATTTTCTTCAAGCAAATATTCTACTTTGTGGTGAAATTATAATGTTATTAGCCAAAGCATCTAACTTTTCTTCCCCAAAACTGGTTTCTATATTAGAAATGCTTTATTCCATATAGTTTGTGCTCAGTGTTGACCAAAACAAGTGAAAAGACAATGATTAAATTAAAACAGAGCAAAATGTTTAATATATAATTAAACTGTATTTATTATTTTATTAAACTGTATTTATATTAGAGTGATCTACACTTGACATTATGATTAAAGTTGGTATAACACCAATGTTTTAAGCATATGGATATGAGAGACAACCTTGAAGACTCAAACCTAGCTTTTTCGGATTCAAATACACGATTCCTCACAAATGAAAAGCCTCTTTGACCCAAAGTTTCTGCCTTTATAGAGTTCAGCATCTCTAAGTATAGAGTTCAAAGTAATTATAAAATGTAATAAAAATATCAAGTGTTTAGAACACATTAAGTACTCAATAAAGGTATGCTATAAAATACTAACTAATAATGCAAAATTATGAACTGCATACATTAAATTTAGCAAAGTATCCATACCTTTTAAAAATTCAAAAGGAAACAAATTTTTGTACTCTAAAACCACAGGATTATAATCATGGTATCAAGGAGACACTGTGGAAAGTGAATTATGCAACTTATGAGTAGGGTTCAGAGAGGGAAACTGGGGAACGCAAAGGAAGGGGTGACATTGTCTAAAAGAAAATGTACTCATTATTTGAATTTTGAAATGGTAACTTTTTTTGTATGGCTCCTTAATAATAACAATAAATTATATATATAATATATATATAATATATATATATATATATTTAAATCCACAGGTTTATTCCTTTCCTGAGTCACTAGAAAGCAGAAAACATCACACAGGTGTCTCTCTCTCTCTCTCTTCCATGCCTAGCTATCTATTAGGAATAGGCAGAAGCCTCTGGATGCAAAGGCTCATGGGTCTTATAGCTTGAAAGCCTTATTAGGCAAAATCGCTACTTTCTTGCCTAGAGATATTAGAACTGTACTTAAAACAGCAGAACTCATTCCTTTTCTCCTTTATTTCTTCAGCCTCTTGTCTCTTCACCTTTCACGCTGGATTCCCTATATGTCTTAAAAACAAGCTAATTCCACTTTCCCTGAGCTGACGTTAGAGGCTGCACAAAAATAATCCAGCTGCCATCAATAGTTTTGTTCTCCCTTTTTCAGGCAGGGATGAGAAGCCTGTTTCTCCTTTATTGACCAAAGTCCTGTGCATATACCCACACCTATGAATATAGACCATGACAACAGAAGCTCCCAGGACTATTTTCTTAATTAAAGGATTTCCTTTAATTAAGAGCTCCTTAAAATCACAGTCAACTTCACATCTTCTGATAAATTGCCCTACATTCTTTCTACATACATACTGGAAGTTTCATAGATAATTTTTTAAAATGTAATAGTCTCTACAAACTCTGAGGGGTAAAAGCATAAGTAAATTTAATCCTTATATTAGAGGCAGACAAGGTATGATTGGCAAGGTGATGAAATAGTAAGATATGCAGAACATGATCAGGGTCAGAAAAAAATGTACATAGATTAGGGAAATTAATGCTGTTTAGATGTCCCTACCACTCAACATTACATGCAGGTCAAGGCCCACCTGGCATGTTTTTAAAATAAAAGAAATACTTAAATTCATATGCAGCCACAGAGAAACCTGAGTAGACCAAATGATCTTGATATTGAAGAACAAAGTGAGAGATTTCACATTTCCGAGTCTCAAAATGTATTATGAAGCTACAATAATCAAAACAGCAATGACAGAATAATGGGCTCAGATGAAAATTCTGCAAGTGTGTTCTAGTGTTCTTCAGCTACACCATCAGGGCAAGACAAAAAGGAAAGAATAATTTCTCCACTAAACGTTGTTGAGAAAACCCGAAATGAATGCAACAAAATGAAAGTTAAAAGTAAAGAATGAAGAAGAATGCGATCAGAATCTTGTCTTAAAATTTTCATAAAAATTTACCCAGAGTGAATTAAAAACTTCACGGCAAAACCTAAAATAATAAAGAAACCCAAAAAACATCAAAGAAATTTTTTTTCAACGTTTCTCTTAGTAATGATTTCTTGGATACAATATGAATAGCATAAGGAGAACTATATCAAACTATAATGTTCTACACACCACTGAATAAAATCAATAGAATGAAAAAGCAGTGTGAGTAATAAGAGAAAATATTTGCTAATAAAATATCTACTGTGGGTAAATAAATAAATATGTAAGCCGTTTCTACAACTGAATAGAAAACGTGAAAATTTTAGTAAGCCTGGTATAGATGCTTCATGTTTGTATTTCTAGCTATTCAGGAGACTGAGATCTGAGGATCATGTTTCAAAGGTAGTGCAAGGAGAAAAATCCATGAGACCCTTATCACCAGTTAACCTGCAAAAACCTGTGTAACTGGAGGTATGCTCAAGTCGTAGAGTACCAGCATTGAGCGAAAAAACCAAGCAAGAATTCCAGGCCCTGAGTTCAATCCCCAACACTGGTTTATACAAAGAAAGATTTTAATAAACATTTTTCCAAAGGCACAGAAGTTAAAAAAAACAACATGAAAAAAGAAGTACTCACTTTCCAAAATCGTTAGGAAAATACAAATAGAACATGAAACATTACCTAAAACTTTTTAATGGCACATTGCAACAAAAATCAAAGTAACAAGTGTTGGTAAGAATGCAAAGAAATTAGAACCCTGTATCTGGTTAGTAAGAAAGTAACAAGATGTTATTGCTATGCAAACACCATGCAATTTCTTTTTTTTTGGGGGGGGGGTCTGGTCGTGGGGCCTGAACTCGGGGCCTGGGCTCTGTCCCTCAACTCTTCAGCTCAAGGCTAGCACTCTACCACTTGAGCCACAGAGCCACTTGCAGCTTTTTTTTCTTTTTGCTTATGTGGTGCTGAGGAATCAAACCCAGGGCCTCTTGCATGCAAGGCAAGTGCTCTTACCACTGAGCCACCTTCCCAGCCCCCCATGCAATTTCTTGAAAATATAGAACCCAGCAGTCCTAGTTTCGAGTATTTATAAAAAAATAGGCATTAGGATGTCAAAACGATATGTATAATCCACAGTTCATATCAGAATTATTCACAATGTGCAAGAGGTGAATATTCATTAGTAGAAGACATTTAAAAATTCTAATATACATTCTAATATATATTTGTGTGTGTGTATATATATATATATATATATATGCAGTGCAACATTCTTTCTTCCCATTAAGAAAGGAATTCATATCAATAATAGAACACTGAACTCAAAAACATTATATTAAATGAAGTTAGCAAGTCATACGTGGTAAATTTTGCATGATTTTACTTATGTAAAGTGACTTAACTCGTCAGACTCAAAGAAGTGACATGGATGTTGGATCCAGGGAGTGAAGGAAGAAGAAAATGAGGATTTTTTTGCTTAATGACTATTCAATTTCACTAGTATTAGATTCATAAATTCTGGAGCTATGTCATACAATGCTGTTAATTAATATATTGAATTTAATACTTATACAATGTTTTAATGAAGTAGATCTCATATTATTGTCTTTAATATACATGTACTATGCATCAAACTCTATAATGTATTAAGTGCATTAACAAGTGTTTCATGGGTTTTTTTTTTTCCCTTTACATCCTTTCAATTCAGTGTAAAGCAAGGACTTTCCATTCAACTGAGCTTTGACTCTTTTAATACATATTATTCAGATGTGTTAAATATTTATGAAGGAGTAGGACCAAGCAAAATTCTAAGAGGTAAGTTTGAACCAATAAGTGGTCTATTTATTAAAATAAAACACATGTGAGGGAGATATTTGGAGTGAGATAGGTGGCCTTTTATATTTGAACTGAAGATGAACTTAAATTTTAAGTTACTGAATGGAAAAAGAAAAACTTTTATGTAAATCAGGAAATAAGTATTCTATGTAAACTTCATAACAGTATTATTTTATATGACCCTCTTCTAATTAGTGTTTTAAAATAGGTGAAATAAACATTCTTCATAAATTCCATTTCACTATAATTACCAATAAGAACAATTTTACTACCTTTTCCCTATTGTTCGCTATATCATTTTAATATTTCATGAATTTTGTAATTGCCTCTATATGTGGGCCTTAGGTTTTTACAAATTAAGCCTTTGGCCTCTACTAACCATTTTTATCCTTCTTAGAGCTGTAGTAACCCTTTGAGAATGTTAATTTTATAAAAACAAATATCAAAGAACAAATATATTTATTGGATATCATATAAAAGATTTTACATCCCAAGCATTGTATCAATGCTTGAGGATCAAAAATGGAAATGTATCCATTAGATAACTTAGCGTTGTTAGGGTAGTGATGAAATCAATATAAAATGTATAGAAGCAATCATGAAGTCACCTACTGTTAATGGAGGTCCTACAGATATATGAGTAAAGAGCCAAAGAAACACACATTTCTTTCTACTATTGTAACCCAGTTAATTTCCTGATAGAACATACACGAGAGAGTAAAAGTAACTTTTAGTCTTATAATTGCTAAATTTTTGTTCTTAGAAGACGTTTTTCAGTAAGATAAGGCATCTTTTTTCTTTTTCTTCTATGTACAGTGCATGTACCTAGTGGTTAAAATGAAAATACATACTGAAAAATCACACATATATACAGTAATCTGAGGCTTTCTAATACTTAGAAGAGGAACTATTTTAATTAAAATGAATTAATCATAAGAGTAATGAATTCTAACTGAGTGGAGTCAGACAGAGTAATAGGTTGTTCAATAAATTGAAATTAGTAGATGGATGATGAATAGATATTGACCTATAATAGCCATTCATTTTCCTTTATAGCTTCACTATGGGAAACTGATCCTGGTGTAATTAGAATATTTTCCAACCACGTTACTGCTACCTTTGTTATACAATCTGATGAAAATGACTATATTGGCTTTAGTGCAACATATACTACATTTAACAGCAGTGAACTTAATAGTAAGTATTATTTATTTATTCTTCCAGATGCCTTAATATCTTAACTTAATTTTTAAAATAGTATAATAAAATTTTTAGTTTTCAAGTTCTTTACTAAGTATTGCTTATGTGTATCTCTCTAGCTCACTCTAGAAAGAAGCAATAAATTAGAAAACAGTTCACATTCTTAATTGAAATCAAATAACCAATTTAAAAATAGATGTTGATGAAAATTAAGTTAAAATTTCACATGAATAATATAGTAAAAATTGTTATTATAAAATTGGAGAATTTCCCTATATGCTTAATGATGTCCAAAGTTATAACTTTAATAACAATGGAAGACAGAAAATATATAACAAAACTTGTGAGTAGACCAATGGAGCTAAAATAGAAAAATAATGAAAGCTTGTGTTTGCTGAAATAAGAAACACATTAGTTTAACACAGTTGGAAGCCAAAAACGAATTTTAGCTATTTGAAATGAAAAAGAATTAAGATTAACATTCAGTCATAAGTACAAAAAGTTAGACTGTTTTCAATGTAACCAAACTTCTGCATTGTAGAGTGAATTTAATGGGATTTTTTATATTTGTATTTCACAGATTATGAGAAGATTAATTGTCATTTTGAGGATGGCTTTTGTTACTGGATCCAGGATCTAAATGATGATAATGAATGGGAAAGGATTCAGGGAGGCACTTTTCCTCCTACTACTGGTCCAAATTTCGACCACACTTTTGGCAATAATTCAGGTACAGTGGTATTTAATTCATGACTCAGAAGGACACTGGGGTCCATTGTTCTGTAGTTGAGGGTCCTGCTAAATGAATAAAATATATTTTCAGATTTTCTTTTTGGTAATGAATTAATGAATACATTTAAATAAAAATGATTTCGAATAGGCTAGTCAATACATATTTAGGAAAAAAATCTATTCTTTTGTTCTGTAATCATTCATGAGATATTGAAAAGAGTGTTATGAACAGTACAAACAAGAAGGCTAAGATGTTTGTATGGATTCACCATTTATTTGCATGTGGACTTAAACAAGACAATGAGCTTCCCTAAGTATTGTTTTGCTTTGCCTTCATGCCACTATCTGATTTTTCATTGCTAGTGCATAAAAACACAGTTTTTGAATGTTGATATGGTACCTGGAAACATTGAGAAAGTTTTAGTTCAGATATCTCCTTTAAAAACTATTCCTCAGATTTCTCAATATATAATATCATTATTTTTTGAGATAAGACAGGCTTACTTCTGAGAATCTATATAATAAATGATAAACTGGTGTTTAGAGCCTTCTAAAGGAAGAACTATGATGTGTAAGTACATTTTTTCATAGAATGAGATACTAGAATTTGATTGCAGGTCAAAACATTAACATTGGAGACAATAAAAAATGACTGTTCTCATTTGCTTCTTAGAGAAGCATCAGAAGATGAGGCTCCTGAGAGACCTAGAAGCAAACACCAATGTAATTACCAAACATAATTACTGAACCAAGTCTTAAATGTGAAAGGAAAGGGGGTCTTTAAATGAGGAAGATCACAGAAAAAACACAGTAGAAATTTGTGCATTTATATCATCCTCAAATGGGACTTGTTCATAATTACTGATGCAAATACTATGCAATTATAATTATATATTAAAAGATGCAATTAACAAGACATAATTCTAGATATCAAGGACACAGATCACATATATTTCTACAAGGTCTGTCAGAACCTATAATTTGAAATCTTCCATTCTTCTCTGGTGTTCCTTTCTTAAATATATCTGAAGGACATTATATTATTAATCGATGTCTTCTTACTTAAGTATTCCTTTCAGAAAGAAGAAACTAGTCTTTTTTATCTTACAATTCCAATGGCATTGACAATATATAAATCTATGTCTATGACTCTGACTCGAAATAATATCTGAATAACTTGTTGACTAAATGACATAGAATGTAACATAAAAAATTGAAGCACACGTGCTTTGTAATTTATTGTTAATGAGTACTTCTGTTACACAAATAAATATTTTCATTTTTATGACCTGAAAAAGTAAATGGTTGATTTAATGTTAACTATGACCTAAATAGTTATGAAACATTAAGCCGTTATCTTCAAGAGAGAAACGTATCTAACCCAGCATTTGTAGATAATACCATCCAAAGAATAATAAAACACAGTCCATCTTATTATTTCCACTTGTTCAAAATACCTTTACTAAAAAAATAACTATTCTCATCAATTTGTATTGTCATAACTAAAGTACTTTTTCATTTGTTCTTTTATTTCTTCATTTAAGGAAGCAGTTTTCCTTCTTTTGGTTTGTTTACAGAATTTGTTATGAACCAGACCCTATCTCAAACACTCAGAGAATATGTGTAGTCAAATAAACTACACTCTTTTTGCTTTCATAAATCACATAATTCTATCCAAGTTAAAGACAAATAAATAAAATGCATGAAAAGTCATATATGAATTATCCGGGATGATAGAAGGAAAATTAGGATGTATGTGCTAATTAGTCTTGATGTCACTGGAAAAGGGATATATGTATCCAGTTTTTTTGGAATTAAAGGAATTAGTCATCCAGATTGTTTCAGGCAGAGGAAAGAACATGCAAAGAGTCTAAAAGGAGTATATTTAACTTGACTAAAGAAAAGCCAGGATGGCAGTTCCTGGCGCGGAGTAAGGAAGGCAGTGAGATCTAGAGAACAATGCCTCTCCTCTGACTGGTTTTCTGAGCACTCGAAGGGGCTAGCTGAGGTTTTGGAGTACAGAAGTGGTAAGATTCATCCTGGCTGGTAGGCAGGGAAGAACTGGTGGAAGGCAAAAATGTTTTTGATGCTTTAGAAGGTAGCGAGATCATTACAAGGCTTTCTGCAGAACAAAAAGATCATAGGGAGAAAAAATCACCAGCAGATGTAATGGAAAGATGTCAGAGAGCTGCGGATATAGTAAGAAGGAAAGACAATCATTATTATTAGTTATTAATAGTCAACTGATATTCTTTGTTAATGGAAAATTAGTTAGCAGTATATAGACCTATGAATAAAAATGTGCCCTGAATAGAGACTGATTGCATAAGATCAAAAGCAATTATTCTCCTACATAATTAATCTTCTTTTGAGTAAGCTATTTCCCAGAGCTTGACCCCCACATTCATGAATTAGTATGCTCATTCCCTTAAATGATCATCACCCTAGACCCCTAAAGATACCCTGAAACAGTCAAGTAATCTAATCATTATTTTTCCTACAGTGTACAAAGGAGGTCTTTTCCAAAGTTGGATAGAGAAGTGAGATGAAAGGGCAGGAAGCGTTTATATCTATTGACTGTGACAGACACCTTTTATATAGTTGAAATCTTTGACATTCAAACGATCATTTCTCGGCTTTTATGTCATCATAATAAAAGGAAAAAAAAACAGTTCCATTGCTATTTGAAGAGTGTAAGTACATTACAAGAGGGGGAAAAATGCTTTCAGTTTGACAACAGGTTAATAACTACGCAAATGCAATGAACCTGACCAAAGTGAAACAGCTTGAATGTCAGGTGGAGATTTTAAGTAGTTGGGTGGGATAGGGACAACTCAGGAGAAAGTCATATACCAGAAGTTATTTAAAATTAAAGAGGCAGAGTAGGTCAGAGCTCACCAGAGGCAGAAAAGTAATAAGGTCCATGGGAAAGCTTAATAAGGCCTCTTCAACTCTCATACCTGTGATTCATAATCACCAGTCATTCACCCCAGGGACATTTTTCTTCCAACTGGCTTTTTAATGCATCAGAACATCCTACCTCCAGAATGGAAGAGAATTAAATCTCTCCTGCTGTTCCTACTCATGTAAGCTTTTCTTGTTCTTTTGCATTCACCTTAAATGAAAGGAAGCCTAAATTCAACAGCCTAAATTAGCATTGCTTTAAGGAAGACCATCTGAGCCATTTCCCCTTTCCATACCTTCTAAAGAGCCCTCTCTTGGTGGAGTCATAGCTATTCAATCTTTGCATTGTCATTGTTCAGAGATTCTCTCTTCCTCTTGGAGACAAAGAGAACTGGGGGAAAAGCAGAGTTACCATCTTGGGATGCTCTGAAAGGGCCAATTTATTCAGGGAAATTAATGTGAGTTATATGCTAACTTCAGGAAGAGTCACAATAGGTCAAGTCAGTGCAAAGATTAGTCCATACCCCTTTCAAGATGTGTTTGATGCTTTAGAATAGAACAAAAGATCACTAAAATGTAGTCCAAGTTTAACCTTTGTTAAGACCTTCTATTTAGGCAGGCTATTTTGTGCCTTAGTTCCCTTTTCTAGAAAGTAAGGTTAAAGACAGAAGGATCTAGCTTTAAAAGCATGTTCAAAATATCAAACTGATAACCATGTTTAAAGAAAACTTCAAAAATTCCTGACTCATGAAAAATAGTAATACAAAACTGTTAGGTTTCATAACTATATTCTTTTCATGCTACAAATTGTCTATGATTCTGTTCTAAGTAGTATCCTGAAGAGTAAAATGGATATTTGACTCAACTTTTAAATGTTTATAACTTTTAGATATCAGCATTTCAATTAAGCATATAAACTTTGTATTGGTATACTTATACTGTTAAAAAACTATCATCTTAAATTTATCTTTCTTGAAGTATTGATTTGAGAAAGTAATACACTGTGTAATATTGATAGATTGAACTTTGCCCATTGTCCAATGTATTACTTTAAAAAATGCTTATGTAGTAAGTCCACATCATTTTACCTACAAACAACTCATAAAGCCATATGTATGAGCCTATTTTCTTTTCTTTCTCCTGGGATTTGAAATGAGAGTCTTCCACTTGTTTGGCAGGTGCTTTACCCTTTGAACCATGTTTACTACCCTTTTACTTTTTAGTATTTTTGACAACGAGTCTTTCATTTATGACCTGGACAACCTGAACCATGACCCTCTTACTTATAATTCTTATGTGGCTGAGATAACAAGTTTGTACCATCATGCCCAGCTTTTTATTGGTGGAGATGGGGATCTCTCAATTGTTTTACTTGGTCTGGTTTCACTCCATAAGCCTCTTGGTCTCTGCTTCTTGAGTCGCTAGGATTACAGACATAGGCCACTTGGCCATGTTCCTATTTTCTTCTAGAGAAATGTCTCTAGATTTGTAGAAAGCACAACTGTTTCTCCAGGTGCAACTGTTTGCATCAACATCAGTGCATGTCCAGCATTTTCTTCTCTTTGTTAGGGAGAGATTGAGTTCAGTGCATGCAGAATTTAAAAAGTGACAGAAGAGAGTTTTAAGAACCCTCTCCCCCAAAGAGGTTTATGAGCAGCTTAAATTAATGAAATGTATTCAATTTTGCTAAGTTTAAATTTACTCTTAGGTGAATCTCAATAGTTCTAGAAGATATTTCAAGAAAATTGAAGCTTTCTTAAAAGACATTATTATTATTATTTGACCATATACACTCCATAGGTTTATAGAAAATACCTAATCATTCCACTGGTGTAGAGTTCTAATAAATATGAAAGCAATGTAATGATAATATGCCAAGCAAATATTTTGATAATATTTATAGAAAATACAATACAATTTTATTTTCCAAGGTTCTAGAAAGTTCACTTATATCAAATAACTTAATATACAATGCAACAGCAGAGAAGGAAAATGTATCACAGAAAATTCAAAAGCACACTACTAGGTAGATAAATATAACTGGAAAACTTCCTGAAGATGCAGACATTTGGTAACATTTTTTTTCACAGAGATAAGTAAGATTTTAACAAGACACAATTGGAAAAAATAGAAAGTCAAGAAAATATAAAACAACATAAGGGTCATAAAGTTTCAGATCTTCTTCTAAATCAGCGAAGTGGTCTGCATAAATAGATAAATTATAAGAACCAAAGGTGGAAGATATTCTCATTATAGTATGCAGGATGCAAATCTCAGATTGAATTTCTGTTTATTAAATAGGAAAACAAGAGATAAAGATGATGAATAAAGGACTCATTTGATGGCACACAAAAATTATTATCAAGAAATGTAAATATGAGGCATAGTTTCGAGGTAGGAGCTTAGAGTGCCATACTTATAAATAAATATTAACAACGGTGTTCTCACCGAAATCTTCTCTTCCACTGATGAGATACTCTATGAAAATCCAGTTTGGATTTTGGATGTCTTACTCTGAATGCAACAGAGTTTTTCAGAAGATACCAACTGGAATTGTGTTACATTAGAATTTTTGAAGATCAAAGAAGATAGCAAATCTTGAGAAGACTTAGGAGAGGACATCATAGAAACTTTAAACATGAGTAGAGCTAGCAAATACATCTTAACTATATGATCCTAGAAATTAAAATGATCAATAATGAGTGCATAATAGTTCAATTTCAAAAAGAAAAAAATAAATTATAGTCATGTTAAAATGAAATGAGTTTTGTTAAAATGAAATGATTCTCATTGCATTTGACATGTTTTGCATAAATCAAGTGACCTGTACAGGCAAAATGTCATATATACGATTAAAAGAATTGGATGCCTAGACTTAGTCATGCCTCCAATTACAGGTGCACTGAAATTGTTTACTGTTAGAATTCACAATTTCATCAAGAATGCTCTCCATACTTGAATTTGTTAGCTAAAGAATTTAATGAATATCACAGATAATAATTTAATATATCATTTAATACAAAATCTCATTTTACTATATTCAGTCATGTGAAGTTATACCTGATATTTATTATACTGCTTGTGTATTTTATTTATTTTTACAAAATTCATAAGGAACTATAATCTGTTTAATTAATTTTGTTTATTGTGGACATGAATTCATGTGTTGATTTTACTAAAAATATCTCCAAATATATTACCATATAAAGAATAACAGAATCAATATGTTTCAGAATGCAATTAATCGACTATGAACATGGTCAAACATAAATGGAAATGTGTTGTGTGTTAGTATGATAGAGTTGCTGCTTATTACAAAAGTGTTTGAGTAATTCAATCATTTTACTACTTTTCCATGGTGTTCAGTTGTATTTTAGTTATTTTATCCCTATCTATGTCATAACGGAACTTAAGGTGAATTCAACATGAATTTAGAGTTGGATTCTGAAGCCTCACTTCCGTAACTATGATACTTTTATTTATTTGGTTGTGTAACTGAACTCTAAATCAAAAGTTACCATGAGCATTTATGAAGTATTATAGCATATGTAAAATATGAGCAATACATAAACAAAAAAAATATTACCACATATATTTTTACACTTAATATTTTCTTATAAATGTACAAATACTACATTTATGAAGGCTTTGGGCTATTACTTCACCTTGACTATTTATACATTGATGTATATATAGGCAGCGCTAATAATTCATTCCTTGATCTTACTCTAAATATTACAAATGAAATGTTTTGAATTTTATATACCACATTGCCTATATTTTTTCTGTTAGATGTCACAGGAGAGATTTCAAGCCAACACTAAATTTTAGAATTTCATAAAAGCAGGCATTGCAATTGAATTGGCTTAATCCAATATTTCATTCCTTTTATATCAATTTCATTGTATGATTTCTGCTTCTTGCTATAAGTATATGAGTAACAAACTAAGATTAAAATAAAATTCTCCAAGAAAATGTTCAGCATGTTTTACCTAACAGTACTTTGCATATCAAATGACTCAAATCATTGGCTGGAATAATGAATTCTAGTCCAAAAAGTACTTTATGCATTCACTTGGGCCATTATGAAAACTTTTATAGGGATTTGTATGCTGCTTGCTTCTCTGTGATCTGATTAGTTATCATTCAAAGAAACATAGAAAGATGAGACGTTTATCAAATCAAGTAACTTATTTTATTTAAAAGTGTGCAGTATAGTCCATGGACTATTAAACTGATGATCTTTGAATCTGCTTACCTTGCCTTCACATGTGTATTTAAATACTGTGTTCTATAAAGACATGGAATCATCCAAGTATTTAACAAACTGGAATTAAAATTGGGGGTGCACATTTGTTAGGAAATGGAAAGACTTCGAAAAAATTATATTAAGTGAAGTAAGCCAGGACCAAAGAAACATAGTTCCCATGGTTTCCCTTATTTGCAATAACTGGTATATGTCTACGACAAGTAGAAAAGGTCAAAAGCTATGTCCATATAGCCATTTAAGATAATGTTAAGTGAAATGAATCCCAAGATAGAGACACAAGAGGTTTTATCTTTCTTGCTGTTGTTTTTAGTGTACTTATAATGTACCATGTGATTTTTTTTGTTTCTTTTTTATGTTCTTTCCCCATGGCATAACCCCTGTTTTCAGTGTTTGATTCCAGTATATACATTTTCTAATTTGGGGAGGGGAAGGGAAATAACAGTAAGGATATTGGTTGACCCATTGTAACAATGAGATGTACGAAATTCTATGCTGAAAATGAACTTTACAGGGGCAGGGAAGGGGAAGAGGAGTTGGGGATGTGAGAAGAGAAGGCATGGTAAGGGAAAATAAAAGGAGAAGGTAACAATGCTGGAGAGGAAATGTACTCATGACTTACTCATGTAGCTGTAACCCCTCTGTACAGTATTTTTACCATAAAAATATATACAAAAAAGAAAAAAAGTAAAAGGTCTTGAACTCAGGAAAAAGAAACTAAAATGGGAGGGGCAGGTTTGTGAAGTGATTTTCCTAAAGAGTGAAGGAAGAGATAAGTACAGGAGGGAAGAATGAGAGTATTGAAAGGGGCTGACATTGATCAAGAAATACTGCATTCAGAACCTGCTTCGTTAAATGGCAACTCTTTTACAATGACTTAAAAGCAATTTAAGAAATAACCAAAAAAACCTACTTAATGCTTTCCCAATTCAATTCTATTGTCTTCTACACTGTATAAAATGTTTGCTAATCTTCCTACCATATGTATTATTTTCCCGTCAAATAATGTTGCTCACACAACAAAAAAAATTTTAATAATACTTAAGCCATGACAACTTTCACTTTTTTAAAATAGGATTTTATATTTCGACACCAACTTTTCAAGGAGGGAGAAGAGAACGAGTTGGACTTTTAAGCCTCCCCTTGAAGCCTGCTTTGGAACCAGTCTGCCTTAGTTTCTGGTGGGTTTCTGTTCATTTCTGGTGTAACTCATTTTAAATGTGGCTTTATTTAATGGTAGTATTAGCTTTCTCAAGGTTTTAGGCTCATATTTCATTAAGATGTTGCACAATATTTTAATTCATGCAATATGACTTTTTTTATGTGATAAAGCAGTAAAGTTCTTATATGCTCTCTTCCCTATTTCAATAACTTCCCAAGGGGCAAGTTTCAAAGTCAGTACAGGATTTAGAAGAAATTAAAATGCATTTGCTATAATGAAATAGAACTCCAAAAATTTCTGCTTATTTCCAAACTAGGTATTTTATGTATGGTGTAAATGTGTATAGATTAAGCATTAATATCACCAGTGGCAAAAACCTGGAGAAGACCATTTTCCAAAAAGAGGGGAATTATGGTGAAAACTGGAATTATGGACAAGTAACATTAAATGAAACAGTAGAATTTAAGGTTTGTAAAATACTTTGTGATATATTCTTCCTTCTGGTCATTTTACATACACATTTTGCAGGGATATGGTGAAAAAATTATATATTTCTAAGAATAGACAAACCTCTTTCTGCATCTTTCTAATCTACTTACTTTTTATGACTGGCACTTTTACTTATATTTACTCATGGACTTGTTCAGCATCTTTCTGACACTGGTCAACTACATCTTCTCATCTTCACATCAAAACTGGGGCTTGCTACTTTCCACAAGTTCCCTGTACTTTTCCTGTGAGTCATCTTTTCCTACAAAAACATGCAAGGCCATCTATACACACCAACTTACCCCATTCTGGCTTCCACTGCATACATTTCCTTGAAAAACAGGTTCTATGAGCTGTATTATTGGGAAGTCTCTGATCATTTATTATCCATTAAGATCAATTAGTTTTTCAGCTAACAGCTTACTATATTCTCTTCCTGGAGGGTTTTCGCAATTAAAATATAGGATTATATAGGTTATCTGCTTAATCAAATCAACAGGGCTCTAATTGCATAATTTCAAACAAGAAGTATGTTTAGATATACACTGTCAGTATCAAAGGCTTCTGTTTTCTTTGTGGCAAGTTGTAAGTAAGCTAGGTAATATTCAAAAGGGCTCTCATTTCTAGTCTGTCTGTCTGTGTATTTCCCTTTATTTCCTCTTTTTTAAAAAATTCTCTTCCTTTTGAATTTATATTTTTACATAAACTCTTCCAATTTTGTTTGCCCATTGATAGTTCAAGTAAGAGTGTGGGAACAGTACAATGGCAGAAGGAAGGAAACAAGAACTTCAGTAGCCAAATTTGGTTCAGTTCACTGAACACCTTTTGTAAAATACTTGAACTTGATTCAATTATTGTGTAGTTAGCTCAATAAGCAGAATAAGCACCAAGTTCTACAAACACTGCAGTAGTCCCAGCTTATGCCTACTTGCATTTTCCATGTTTCAATTACACATGTTCAACATCAGTCAAAGTATTCATGGAAAATTCCAGAAACAATAATTTGTAAGCTTTAGATAATTTTATTCAACTATAGTCTTGCAATTTTTCTACTTTGTTATATTATTATCGTTAATCAGTTACTGTGCCAAACTTTATAAACTTCCTCATAGGTTAATTTACACAATATGGGGAAATTATAATACACATTGTCTCCACATTATCTATAATTTCAGATACCCTTTGGTTTTATAATAGATTACCTAATGGTTAGTGAGGACTATGGTATTTGTACTTTACATTTGGAACAATATTGTGAAATCTTCAATAATTATTATTCTCATTTTGAAATCTGATTTGCTGTTCTATGACACAAAGGAATAGGACTTATTTGGAAAATGCCCCTGAGATAGAGTGAATGAATGGACAAGCAGATGTACAATGTACTCTAGTATTGAAAAGTCAGGTAAGACAATGATACCATGTTGCTAATATAGCAGGTAGTGCATTCAGCAATCATTCTGCTCATGTGTCTCTTCTACAAAAGGGAGATTGCAGAAAAGGATGACCAAAACTACCCATTATTTCTTTGAGCCTACTTTGCAACCTCTTACACAGATGAGATTTCCCAAGTCTGGTTCTGTGCCCCGCATCAGCACCTCATACAAATCCCATCTGATTACCTTAGATGAGCAGTGGCTAGGTAGGACCAGCTGGCTGTGCATGGTCAACTTATGACAATAGTTATCCCTTGTCCTCTTATTTTCCCTCTCATAAAAATCTCATCAGTGTTTCTTCCCTTTTTAGCTGGTATGCTTTAAAAACAAAAAGAGCTACCTGAATCTTTACTATTTTTAGGGGAAGAAATCAGTGAGAATTCTGTCTACCACCAGATGACATGACAGAATATGATAGAATAACAATATTATTAAATGGAAAGGAAGAGAAACAGAAACCAGAACAATATGGTCTAACTCTGAAAATAGATGTGAATTAAGTATATGAGTCAGTACACAGTAGAAGAAAGCTAGATTGCTCATAAGAATTTTAAAAAGCATGATCCATAAATATTTCAGAATCTAGTATTGATCATGACATATTTGCAGATTGTCGTATTGACATGTGAGAGGTTATTAGAACACAAAAGACTAGAATGGAATTATTTTACACATATCTCTGAATTTCAGGTTGCTTTTAATGCTATTAAAAATCCATTTCTGAGTGATATAGCTTTGGATGACATTAACCTAACATATGGGATATGCAATGAGAGTCTTCATCCAGAACCAACTTTGGTCCCAACTTCTCCACCAGAGCTCCCTAGTAAGTACCTTCCATTAAAACATTAATAATACAAGATAGATTTTGCTTTGGGTTACTTTGCTATCCAAACACAATTGTTTTGTCAATGAACATCAAAGACTAAAATTTAAGAATAAAGAAGAGCCGTAAGTAAAATGGAGACTCAAAAACTATGACATTACATATAAATTCAGGAAAAAATCTTAAATGCCTCAGTTGTGGATAATAGTTATGATCACATAAATATCCTTCTCAGTTTTAAAATGAAGTAGCTGAGTTGCAATTTAGTTTCCCTAAAATATGAAATAATATTCTACTGACCATGGTAAATGTCTGGTGGTCATAAAGAAGGGCCTTATACTTCTCAGTTTCCCTTTATTTATTTTTTTTCTGGTACTGGAACTGGAAGTTAGGGTCTCCTGTCCTCGCTTGATTTTTTCATTCAAGTGTGGTGCCACACCACTTGACCTATAGCTTCACTTTCAGCTTTAGGCTGGTTAATTGGAGATAAAATTTGGACATTTAATAGCATTAGTTTGAAACCATAATCTTCAGATTTAACCTATTGAGTTAGCTACAATGACTTTCTCAAGGAGTGATTTTAAGATCTTCAGCCCCTGAACTTGCTTTGAGAATAACTTAATAATAAGGATGGAGTCTCGAATTTTAGCATACACATTTACTTCACACAATAGATTTTTGTTCTGAAATGATGTCTTTCTAAGGTTTTACAATATATTTTCTTTATGAAGCTGCTAATATTTTGCAGCTGAGTATTCATTAGGATTTTTAGCCTTAGGAGATATTTTTACCTCAAAAATACAAAGTACAGCCTAAGTCTATCTATGCTCTCAAGTCAAATTGGAAATCTGACATTTCAAAGAAAACTCATTACTGTTCATCATATCCGGGTCAAAGGAGACAGCCACTTCACATTACTTTCAGACTAATGGGAATTAACAGAAGAAAAAGAGAAGAAGAAAATATCGACAATGATATAATATATTAAATTACCACTGTCTCTCACTAGCATCATCATTAAGCAAAAATATCTTATAAATATCTACAATGTGTAGGAGTACTGCAGAACAAAAATGAAATGTAGCAATAAAATTTGATGTACAAAGTAGTAATAGATAAGCATCTAAATCAATAGATAACCTGTGCCTACTATGTGAGAAAAGTCAAACAACAAAAATGTGAATTGGAGAAAATATTAAGGAAGCAGCAAGATAGAAGACATAACGACATTCAGAAAGTTTAAAAAAAAGTGGACTAGAACCACGTATCCTTGTATGATAAGTCTGGCTATAACATTCTAATAAGATGCGATATTTTTCTTTTTTGTGTGCTGGATATTGAACCCAGAGCTTTGTTCATGCTAGACAAGAATAAGAAGTTAGTTTCCTGAGATCAAACTTAGTCTTCATGTTTGCTCCACTAGGGTTTGGCTGGTTGCTAATATCACATAAAAGTAATAGTTATTATTTACTATGGATTAAATAGTCTCTCTTTAACTCTTCTATTATTTTGGCTTATTTATTTTTGCCAACACAGCTATCTTTGGCAAACACAATTTTGGCACCAGAAAGTTTAAAAATGATGATGAGTAGAAGTAGAAGAAAATGCTAATATGGATTCAATAGTTTGTGCTTTGTCATATTTAAAAATAATTGGCTCACTTCATTCTGTGTAGATGCACTATCTGTTTATTATACACAATATTTTTTACAAAAAATACATATTCAAAGCCCTTAACAATCAATGCTAATTGAAAAATACTTTCTACAGACAAAATAGTAGCAATATTTTCCTAATTCAATATTATGGGGGCTGAGAGTCCTTGCCTTGCATGCATGAGGCCCTGGGTTGAGTTCATTTCCTCAGTATCACATAAGCCGGAAGTGGCTCTGAGGCTCAAGTGGTAGAGCAATGACCTTGAGCTGAAGAGTTGAGGGGCAGCGCCCAGACCCAGAGTTCAATCCCCACAACTGGCAAAAAAATAAAAAAATATTATGGTCATACCAAAAAATAGATTCTCTTAATGCTTTTTTTTGTCTGTCACTGTATTTGTCAACAAATAGTCTATTCTTAAGGTTAAATAATGTAACTTTATATGCTCTATGTTTAAAACATAGCAAAATCTGATAACCTAAAATAAAATATTTGAGATGACTTTTGAATATAATATCATATACACAAATAAACTTTAAATATGGTTTCCATGTTACATATTTATCTGCATGACCTATATTAACATTATATCAATTCTTGCCAGAAGGAAAAAGGATAATTAATTCCCTGATGTCATAGAAGTATAGTATGCCTGCATATTTTAGCATTAGAAAAATTATAATGGTATAATAACTGATCTGATTTTAGAATACAGACATAGAATCTATCCAGAGTAAATTTGTTCCACTTGCCAAATGATACACTTCAAGGCAATATTTAGCACAGTAGAAAATGTTAATTACCATCAAACACATCCTGAATAATTATATTCTAATGCTATTTGCTATTGGTTCAGTGACAATCTTATTCGAACAGAGTTGTTTTTGTTTTTTTTGTTTTTTAGTTCCAAATCACTGATTTGTTTAAGCAAAAATAAAACCATAGTTGGCTGGGTAATAGCCTTATTTCCACTCTTTAGAGAACATTTAAGTAAGAAAATAATCCCTGACAAGTAAATGAATAATACAGTTTAGTCTCTAGCATCATTTTTAGGGATAAATACAGTGACTAGTTGGAGGAATGTAAGTTCAGTTTCATAGCTAAAGGAATTCTGTTCTGTGACATGAATCACTTGCTGCTTCTGCCGCTGTCTGCCCGTGACATTGGAATGCATTTATTTAAATATGGAGGCTATGCTGAAAACTCTTTATGAAAGCATACATTCTGTTACACAGACCTCATTTGATTTTACCTTCTAACAATGAGATAACTACTAAAAAGTATAGGCATGTACAAAAGGAAATCCACATTTTGGGGTCTTGAACTTATTTCTGAGGCTGTTAAAATGAATTAAGAAAAAGTAGGTTAGATAAAGATATATATTTAATCATTTCCACATTCGCTATATACATGTCTTTTTTCTCAATCTAGTCATAATTTCAGCCATTTTCTACTTCCAAATACAAAATAAAGTTAACTTGAAAAGTATAATATACATGACATTATACTCAGAACTCAGTAACAAATTTTTCACACAGAAATAAGGTAAGACCTTGCTGTCTCCTGCAAGAAATGACCATTTCAGTATATCATCATTCTGTACCACTTATTTGAATTAATAGTCAAACATAATTTCCATATCAACTATATTCTTAAATTCCTTAATTAACAATTTTTAACTATTTTATTTAAATTTAACTTATTTTATCTTTACATCATGAAGCCTAAATTTTTTAGTTATCATTGGTTTGATTTCTACAAAAAATAATGAAATTCAGGCCACAAAGAATAAAAAGTATCAAAATTGTAATGCAAAATGGTTAGTTACATCATGAATGGTTACAATAACTTTTTAGTGGAAATACAAATTTTCATAAGCTATTTTCACAATTAAAATTTTTTTTCATAAGCTGAATACAATACTCTTCATAGATGATTTCACTTTATATTATAACCTAAACTTTCAAAGTATAATCTCTAATATAAAAATGATTTGTCATTTATTACTAGGATATTAAACATTAATTGCATATTTTGAAGCTAACCATTTTAACATACTCAGCCATTTCTCAGATTCCATTATTATTGCATTTACATGAGAGCACCAATCCCAAACCTATTTTTGCTTCTAACTATATGCTCAATTTTTGTGCTTTGCCCTGGGTATTTTTAACTTAAGCCCTCTTTCTGTAAGTGAATACAATACTTCTTTATTCCACCCCACAGTAAAAGCATCTCACTGACATATGTGTCCTGGTCTTCAGCAGCTTAATCATGGATTTAAAATGACACGCTTGAAGAAAATTATTCATCCTTGACAGCTATTTTGCAAACCGCTGCATATTATTTGCATAGTGTGTGCTGTGAAAAATCCCTATTGGCATAGTCAGAAATTAACTGGAGTACAAGCTTTTGAGAGACTAGCTCTCAGAAAAAGAAAAACATAAGCACTTACCACTCTGAATGGGTAGAATTCTTTTCAGTAGACAAGCTACTTACTTTCTTTTCCTGAGTGGTCCTGACTTATCTGATGACACAGCGTGACTGTGATTTCTGCCATCCCTTTGCATGAGTCTTTGGGCCTTCTGCTAAGAAACATGCTAAATCTCAAGAAGAGCAATGTCATCATTAATATAAATAGTGTCATCGTGTTTAGAATGGTGGAAAGGGCTTCTAATTTCACTCCTTACAGTCATTTACACCTAGAGAGTAAATGAAATATTTTATCTTATGGGGCAGTTATTTGATATGAACTTATCATTCAAATGCACTTTGCAATGCACTTCTTAAGCATTTAAAAGGAATGAATTTCCCAAGATCTCTGCTTAGAGGAGAGATATTAAGTAAACTGTCCTCCGAAACAGACTTAACAGTACCACTTAGCAATCTTATCGTTTTGGTTGTGAGTTATATTATTAAAGTCTTATCCTTGATCCTTCTTTATATCCCATGAAGTGCTCAGATAGGTGAAAATTTGATGCATCCTCAAAACACCATTTGGCAGTGTAAAATTTTTATATTTCTCTATTTGAATATTGAGAATCATTGTCTCACACATACACACCCACATACACTCATGCATGCATGCACGTGCACATGCACACACACATACACACACACACACACACACACTGCACACATATGCTTAGTTTATCACCTTCCTCAGTGTTCCAATGGGAACACTAATTGGCAGCTGGGAATTACTCAAATTAACTGCGTCATATGTACTTCAAGTTTGAGTATTATAACCGATCCTTCTTCATATTTCCCACTGCATTTAGTCATGTAATAAACCAGATCCTTAGTCTTTTGTAGAGAAGTTTCCTGTGTTCCTAAATTACTGTTATTTCAAGTACTTTCTGCAGCGTTCTGGAGACATTAACTTCTTCATTTCAGATTGATCTCTCATTTACCTTACTTGCCAATATTTTCACTCATGTTTCTTCCTGCCTTCCTTGTTTTTGCCATACTTCTATTAAGTACCACTTACTAAGACTCATTCCAAAACCTCCATTAGCTTGGTCTCAATAGAGACAATGCTTTGGTTTAATCAGGTCAATGTGAGACAGTTACAGTACTTTGGAGAGCTTGGGATTAACTGTGTGAGGTCATTGCCCTTGGTCTTAGGTAAATAACAACGGCATAATCAAATAACTGAATATCTCCAAACTTCAGATTATCTGAATTCAAAAGAGCAATGATACCAGTATTCTAATCCACAAGGATTTTTTAGAGAACCAGTACTGCATAGGTACTTTTTACAAGTTATCTTTAGTTTTTAGAACTCAAAAAAAACTTCTTAACATCTATGCTCTGTACAGGGCAACAAATCCTAAGTACTCAACCAGCCCTTTATACAATTTGAGTCCATTTCTCCCCAGATAAAAACAATTCACATGGAAATCCTCTGTAAATGATGGTATATTTTAAGTGTATTTATTGTATACGTTGTATAAGTTCATCTGGGTCTGGACTGGCCTATTTGAGAAAGGAGTATAAGAGTACACTTTACCACCTTACGGAGCAGGCCAGTATGAGTAAGTCAGAATAATGATCTCTCAAGTGTCCTATTATAAACATCACAAAATCCAACTTTGTAAGTCTTATAATACAAAGTTAGCCTAGTAGCATGGATTTTAGTGATCAGAGTAAATAAAGTAGATGGTACTTTAGGAAAGGAGCAAGACTGAAGACATTCCCATGAATATAGATACATAATTACCCTTCCCATAATTTCACAGCAGCTCTACCAGATGATATTTCCAATATCATCTGCTTTTACTAACAGGAAAAAATATCTGCATGTATTTTTCAGATTAGATTATTTTAATGTGATGCGATTTTAATATGTTAACAGTAAACACTTAGAATAAAGATATTTAAAGTAGTGATAAATTCATGTTACTTTAAAATTTATAATAAAGGAGAAAGTTATAATATATTAAAATATCATGGAGTTAATGTACCTACAGTATAATAGCCTTTATTAGAAAATTTATGATTATTTTGGTAATATATTTGCATTAAGCTCTGACAGTCCTAACTTGATTCCTGGAAATTCCAGTTGCCAGTCAGTCCAGGGGAATTGGTAAGTAAGTGGAGGGAGATTCAGTTAGTCTCCTTTATCTGACTATCGAATACTTCACTATGAAGACCAATGAAGTTTCCCCTAATACTTCAGAAAGAAGAGAGGGTAAAGAAAGAGAACAATTTTGGATTAGTATCTTACTAGCACCTCTGAAAGAAAAGTGTTTGGTCTACAATTTCTTCTATAAATAAGTTTATCTCCAGCATAGATTCAATATTTATTTCATGACGCATACTTATAAAAGATGTTCACTCAAATAACTTTCATTAGTGCTACACACTATCAGGCTTCCTTCGAGAGTCACAAAAGCAATAAAAAAAAAATCTAAGTATTTTAAAAAGCTCTTGAGTAAAGTGATTCATTAGCTTTTATTTGTTCCAATCTTAAGTTGTGGAATTTTCTCTTATACAAAGCCTAACATTTATCTGTCAAAACTAGTATTCCAGCCTGGAGTCAATAGCTCTTACGTGTAGTCCTAGCTACTCAGTAGACAGAATTCCAAGGCTACCTAGGCTAAAAGTCTGTAAGACTTTATCTCAATAGAAAAAGTTGAATGTGGTGACAGGCATATATAATACTAGCTATGGACGGAAGTGTAAACAGGGTGATGGTGGTCCATGACGGCTTAGTCATAAAATGAGACCATATGTCAAAAATAACCAGAGACAAAGGTGCTGACAGCATAGCTCAAGTGGTAGAAGCATGCATTGTAAGCACGTGACCCTGAGTTCAAACCTCAGTAGAGTATTCATCCAAATTCGAAATATATATATATACACTCACAAACACACTCACTGTGAAAACTTAGCATTCTAACCACGATAATTACAAGTGCCAAATTTGCTGGCATATGATATTATGTCTCTAAAATAAACATTGAGTCTCTAAACAATGTTCTTTCCTTTTCAGCGGACTGTGGAGGACCTTTTGAACTGTGGGAACCAAACACAACATTCAGTTCTCCAAACTTTCCAAACAACTATCCTAATCAGGCTTTCTGTAAGTCATTCATTTCCCAGTTCCTACCCCCCCGAATGTACATATCAAGAATATGTCCTCCCATGGGGCTGGGAAGGTGGCTCAGTGGTAGAGTGCTTGCCTTGCATTCATGAGGCCCTAGGTTCAATTCCTCAGCACCACATAAGCAGAAAAAGCTGGAAGTGCTGCTGTGGCTTAAGTGGTAGAGCACTAGACTTGAGCTGAAGAGCTGAGGGACAGCGCCCAGGCCCAGAGTTCAGGCACCATGACTGGCAAAAAAAAAAAAAGAATATGTCCTCCCATAAAATATCAAAGTAGAGAACAAATTTGTCAAACATGAACACATTTACTGTATATATCTGTAATATTTTTAATATAACAAGAATCAAAATTATTGCTAACCTGTTAGCAATGAAAATATTATACTAGGCAAAGTAATTCCTCAAAATATATTATTTCTGCCAATTCTCACAATTTAATAGTTCTTTAAGGTAATTGCTATTATTATGATTCCAAATGAAATAATTGAATATAATCATAAGACAGCCAGTTTATGTCATACTCCTCTAGCTTATGTACACAGTGTTATGGTGTTTATACATAGTCTGTAATTTATAGAACAAAGTGAATGGAAAGCTTAAAATGTAAAAAGTCAGTTAGTATTCCTTTTGCAAATATAGCAGTCAATAACGCAGATACCACAGTGATTTTTTTTTAGGCCAACTATGAAGAAGAAAATAACAAAAGGAATGTTATAATACTTACACTGAGAAAGACTAGTTAGCAAAGACTGTACAAATGCTGTATTTCCACCAATCTGACTAACATGAGAAACTCACTATAGAGATTGTATTAAAGGTGCAAAACAAGCGTCTAGTCCATCCTACTAAGCTTGCACATCAGTAGACTTGTTTAGAAACAAATCCTTCCCATGACCATACCTGGTTAAGGCTACTAACCTGGATAGGGAATTCTACCAGTGTAAGGAACACCCCAATGGTTGTAAAAAGTGAGTTAGAAAATGCCAACTTTTAGCAGGGCGCTCCTGGCTCACACCTGTAATCCTAGCTACTCAGGAGGCTGAGATCTGAGGATCATGATTCAAAACTAGCCCGAGCAAGAAAGTCTGTGAGACTCTTATCTCCAATAAACCACTAGAAAAACCAGAAGTGGCACTGTGGCTCAAGTGTTAAGAGTGCTAGTCTTGAGCCGAAGAGCTCAAGGACAGCACCCAAGCCCAGAGTTCAGGCCCCATGACCAACAACAACAACAAAAAGAAAATGCCAACTTTTCTTCTTGCAATGATCTAGAGATGAGCAAGTCCCACTTTCAAAGGCAAATAGATGACCATTATAGGGATTTACCTGATCTAATAAATAAATAAGCTATCATTCATCAAATTCCACTTTTATGGAGAAACAGATTATTATCTCTACTTCTTTGGACATTTTAAAAAGAATGTCATTTGAATTAAGTAAGAATTCATACAACAGTATGATATCCAAACAGAAATTCAGGGGCTTGGAAGGTAGCTCAGCGGTAGAGTGCTTGCCTTGAATGCATAGGTTTGATTCCTCAGCACCACGAGTAAGCAGAAAAAGCCAGAAGTGGCACTGTGGCTCAAGGGGTAGCTGAAGAGCTGAGGGACAGCGCCCAGGCCCAGAGGTCAGGCCCCACAACCAACCAAAAATAAATAAATCACAGCAATTCAGAGAAATTTGTTAACTAATTAATTTGCTCAAATACTAAACATGTTTAGGCACTGAAATAAATTTTTAAAGGCCATAATTTAACAAGGATTCAGATAAATTGTCGGGATTACAAAAATATTTAAGTCATTAAAATAAAGACAAAGACATTCATTCAGGAATTCATGGAGGGTCCTTAATGTGTAAACAAGGAGCCCAGAACTATGTATTGATTCTCTAATTAACTGTATTGAAATAGAATATTAGCTTTTTTGTTATTTGTAAGCTTTATGCTGTTGGATTCAATTGAAAGTTGTGATATTTTATTCTAGTATTACATCTTATATAAAAGTATGTACCCATGGTAAATTATTTCAAGTTTGAACTTTTACTTTCTAAACATATTCTTGGCCAAACAAATAACTTTCTTACACAATAAAGTAAAAAAACAAAAACAAAAACAATAAACACCTGTTTGAAATCTTGATTTTTTATGAAATGGAAAAAAATGCTTAAAAGTGATGTGAAGTTTTTCAGAAAGTGAAGACTTAAATGAGATACAAAGCAATGTATTGCAAATTAAATTTACTACTGATTATCTCTAAGGTGTCTGGAATTTAAATGCACAAAAAGGAAAGAACATACAAGTCCATTTTCAAGAGTTTGACTTAGAAAATGTGGTAGATGTAGTTGAAATCAGAGATGGTGGAGAAGATGAGTCTTCGCTCCTAGGTAAGTCTGTAGTCTTCCTACTGTGAAGACTGGCTAGCTCAAGACATGGGTGAATAGAATGCAAGACCAGAGATTGAACACTTCTACAACTAGCAAAACAAAAACACTAGCAGGATATTAACCTTCAATAGGCAGTTTGTTGGCATTGGTGACAAATACCATTTTCCTTGAGCTCTTGTGGATAGGAATTCCTTTCAAAATTGAATTATTTTCATTGCTTGTAATATACAAAGCAATTAAAAACGTGACAGTATACTTTAATTAGCTGAAGTATTATCAGTAAAGAGTGTCTATGCAATACCCACAAGAAGAGAATTCATGAAAAATAGTTTAAAAGTTATTATTAAGTTTGTACTATCTGTCTCTAATCCACTTGAAAGCAACATTAATATATTTGGATAATTAATTAGTACATTAATTAATTAATAACATATCAATTAATACATTTGGAAAAAAGAGTAAGAAAAATTCTTACCCACATTTATGCTTAACGGTCTTAAAAGGAAGCAGTCATTTCTTTGAAATATCATGAAGCTTGCACAGTAGAAGTGCTAATCCAGATAATATTATGATTAACACTTTATTAAGTTATAGAGCTGCAGAACCTTGACCAATATTGAAGAGCTCAATAAACATGTTGGATTCGTAGAAGTAGCATCTAAAATCCAAGAGACTATGAACATTTCTTATGGCTGCTTCATGATGAACATGCTTTTCCTAGAGAATGGATATGGGCTAAAGGCTATGTTGGTCTTCTAGATTTAAAGGTCTTACTGAGAATTAATTTTCCTTTGGAGCAGCCGTGTATACAGGGCCAGGGCCAGTGAAGGATGTGTTCTCCACTTCAAATAAGATGGCTATCTTGTTCATCACTGACAACAGTTTGACCAGAAAAGGATTTAAAGCAAACTTCACTACAGGGTATCATTTGGGGATGCCAGGTAAGAATGTTACAGATCACATCATCAATTTAGAGAAAACAAAAAAATAGAAAAATAAATATATACTGGGCTTCTATTATATGCATTCTTCCTCATCTTAAAGATTTTTCTGCTTTATATCTGTGTAATTGTGACTTGAGTTTTTGTCAGAGTAAGTATTGATCCAACATGCTTCTTCATAGATCTACTTGCACCTCTCTGGTGTTCAAAGGGCCTTGAATTATGCTCACTTTAAAGATGGTCACTTGGCTACCTCAACTATGTAAGGAAGAACCCGTTCTATCACCAAGGTCACATTCAGGGGACAGCTGGGAGACAGGCAGGTGATCTGTGGGAATGCCAATAATATCCTATCAAAGAGTTTAATGTCATGAAATAACCAACTTATTAGAGACATCTGGGATAAAACAACTACAGTGAAGGAATGTAATGCTGATATTCACTGGATACTCACCCTCCTTACTTGTATTTTTTACTTTATCCATTAACAAGAACAACATAAACAAAATTATGGTCTGTTCTGTGTACATGCACACAAGTGTGTACATGTTCACATATGTATGTGTGTGTGTTAAAATTTAACTCGAGTTAAATCTGGAGTTTAGTCAATAATCTCATCCCTTAGTAATTTTGTGATTGCTTATTTCATAATAACAAAAATTTTCTATGAACATTTTATCTGTTGTTTTAGGGTCTCCTCTTTGAGACATTTTTATTTTGTTTCACCATTTGATTTAAAATAATCGGTTTATAATTCTTGTAGAATATAATAAATTATCTTACATTAGCTATACAAGGAAGATTTCATTTTGATATTTTCATGCATGCATACATGTCTTTCAATCAATCATTCCCTATCACTTTCCTTGACCACCACCCTTTCCAAAGACATTTTCAACAAGTTTCCTTACCCTGTTGCCATACTTTCCAATTATCTATTTCAACCCTATTCATTCTCTTTCACCTTCTGTAACCCAATCCCCTTCAGTAATTCGAGAAGAAATCTTTGATTGCAGCAAGGATGGAGTCTTCATGAGCGTCACTGTGTGATGAATCATCACTGTGCGATGAATCTGCTGGCAGTATGAGTTCACATTCTGCCTGGACCTGGCGTAGAGGTGGCTGAATAGTGGCAAATAAACAGAACCAGCTTCCCTCAGCACTGTCCTTGTCAAAATTTCTTAGACTAAAAGTTTGAAAACGGACTTGGACTTCAGGGGAGAACTGAGCTGGCACTGGGAAGTGAGGCTGGACCCATAGATTTGTTTATGTTGGTGCTCTACTTCGGAGACACTTATAGAAAGCATGTACAAAAGGGACATCATATACTGGTGTTAGCATTTATCTCTTTTACTTGAGATAGATGTATCTGATATACTGTAGGGACAGCTTTGAAACTATTCAACTAAAATATAATTATGTAGCATACTTTTATATATTCCTTTACCCCGTTTCATTTGATCCCATTTTCATTGAAATAGAAGTTATAATAAGTATTTATTAAGAGGTATCTACAAATGTACTCTCATTGCTCTTTTCTGATACATTGAGCTCAGTAGTATGAGCTAACTCGGAAGTAGCAGCTGAATACACTTAAGGGTTTTGAGCCCTCCTCCAGGCATGTGCCTCAGAGACAAATCCAGGTCTATTTAAAACCAAGCTTTTTATGTTGACTACATGAAGCACAGCTACCAGAGACTTCATAAAAAGAAGAAAGAGAAATTCACTTCTTAGCAATATTTCTTTTTCTCTCGCTTACCGTTGGCATAAAACTATCAGAAATTATATTTAAGAGTCCAGAGAGAGTTAGACAGTTGTGTTAAACCTTTCTTGATGGATTTTAAATTCCATGGAAGCCAAATCAAGTCTATGCATTGAAAGAAAATTTAAAAACAGCTTATTTATGCATCTACTTAGATCTTATAATTTCTATTGAGCAGTAATGATCACTTTGCCTCATTGAACATGATTTTCTCTAATTCATCAATCTTTCGAAACAGTTTATATTTTCTGGACTTATTAGTATGAGATATTAGGGTATAATCCTAATACTTTTGGCTAAAGCCAAACAGTGGTTTATAATTTTCATATTTAAACTTATCATATTTAATTAATATGTGATTTTCTTTTTTTCTAACATCTATACTGGGTTTCATTATGAGTTTCCAAATATATTTGGTCAAACCCTCCTCCATCACTCTCCCTCTTTCCACCTATCCCTTTCTTAAAACAATTTCAACAGACTCCATGGTTCAATTTTCGTACATGTATGTCAAGTACTTTGTCCATACTCTATTTCTCTTCCCTCACTCTCTCTAATCACTCTTCCTCCTTTCAAAGACACCCACCTTTAAGCAGCATCTACTTTCATTTCTCTCATTTCTTGGTAAAGTACATGCTATCACTCAGAGATATGAAGTTCTTTGTCTCATGTGCATACATGGTAACTAATCATATTATCTGCCTTTATTGTTTTCTCCCATCCCCTTTACCTGTTTATTGCATAACTTATTTTAGAAGCAATACATTTTTACTTAGAAGCAATGCTTTTTATCCATCACTCTCTCATTCTCTTGTTCTCTCCCCCAAGTACAAATTACCTCAATTAATATAGGTAGGTAAGTAGATAGATAGATAGATAGATAGATAGATAGATAGATAGATAGATAGATAGATAGATAGATAGATAGATGAAAAACATTCAATCTTTATCCTGCTGAACATGGCTTCACTCAAAGTGATAATATCCAGTTTCACCCAGTTTCCTGAAACTGTACTATTTGGAGAGGTAAGGCATTCTTGGGGCTTGAACTTGGAACTTGGGCACTGTATTTGAACTATTTCCTTGTAGTCATTCCTTGTAGTCATACACATATATACACATTTTACTTATCTATTCATCAGAAGAAGAGAGTCTAGCTGTTTTCATATTGCTTAGCTTTTGTGAATACTTTTGTATCATGGCTTACATTTTCTCAGATATATGTCTAAGACTGGTATTGGTGGGTGGATTGCATAATAGTTCTATTTTCATATTTCCAAGATACATACATACAGCTTTTCATAGTAGTTATGTTCACTCACATTGTCATCAGCTGTGTATAAGGATACCCTCTCTCTCTCTCTCTCTCTCTCTCTCTCTCTCTCTCTCTCTCTCACACACACACACACACACACACACACACACACACACACACTTTTCCAGCATTTGCTGTTCTTGATGATAGCCATTCTAACCAGAATGGTATAAAATCTCCATGTCATTTGATTTTCATTACCCTTCAGGGCAAAATGTTACTTCTTCAAACATTTATCGGCTATTCAAATTCCTTTTGGAATTTTTTGTGTTCATTTGCCCCTTGCTTAAGATAAGTTGTTAGGATTTGGGGAGATGATTTTTTTGAGCTCTCTCTTTATCCTGGTTATTAATCCCTTGTCAAATGTATAGCTGGCAAAGATTTTTATGCCATTCTGAAGGCTGTATCTTCAGTCCTGAAACTATTTCCTCTGCTGTATAGAGGTTTTTTAGTTGGATGCAAGACATTTGTCAGTCCCTTCTCTTCTCATTTGCTGGACTATTCAAATTCTGTTTAAGAAGTTATTGCCTATGTCTATATGTTCCAGTGTTTTCCTGTAGTAGTTTCAGATTTACAGGTCTCTAATCTAGTCCAGTCTCTAATCTATTTGAAATTGATATCAATACAGAGCAAGAGACAAAGATCTAATTTCAGTAATGTATATATGGTTATCCATTTTTTCTAACTTATGATTTTCTAATTAAACCTATCCTGGCTACATTAACAAGAATAAGATTATCGATAACTTTATCTATGATTAAATTATTGTCTAGACCTAATTTTACCCAATGATTTTAATAAACTATGAAATCATGGATATTTTCAAACTATGATGACTAATATTCTATGATAATATTAAAATATATAATTATGGTCATGGAATTAGTGCTGTGAGGTTTTAAAATAAATATATATGTGTTAAAATATAGATTTATGATAGAATTATAAATAGATTTTATGTGTTGCTATTTTTAAATCTTCTTATTTCCTAGTAGAAAATAAAAGGAATATTTCTAAAGACAGAATAATTCTTTCTGTTAAAATATTAATTCTTGACTGAGAAACAAAATATAATTATCTCTGTCCATTTGTCATCTCAGTAATCTGATTCAAAATGTGTTCATGAACCAAATAATTACATTTACAAGTACTTCCCTAACAATATTATAGAGATATATAACTTATTTGTCTCATGGTATTATAAAAGTTTACAGAGAAAAACCAACTTTGGTACACTTAAGATGAAAAAGAAGTACTTACTTTCTTTTAATAGTCAAGCGCACTGAGTATTTAAACTCAGACCAATTTATTTGTACAAAAAAAATTACAAAATGTCCAAAATGGCTTAGATAAAAGGCAAATGGTGCTAGAGTATTCAACCACTGTTCAAATTTACATGAGTAAAATTTGTCTTATAGTTCATAAAACTAAAGTATGATTTCAAGTAAAATAAATTTTTTCAAAGGTGGGGTTTTGTTTGTTTTTTGGCCTTTTTTGAAAGTTGTGGGGTTTGAACTCTGAGCCTGGGCACTGTCCCTGAGCTCTTCAGCTCAAAGCTAGAGTTCTAACACTTGAGCTACAGTTCCACTTCTAGTATTCTGGTAGTTAATTGGAGATAAGATTCTCATGGACTTTCCTACCCAGGCTGGCTTTGAACCGCAATCCTCAAATCTCAGTATCCTGAGTGGCTAGGATTACAGGGGAGCCACCAGCACCTGGATCAAAAGTTATTTTATAATCACTAAAATTCCCATCAACTAATAAATTTACATTTTAAAATATTTTTTGAAATAATGCTTTTTAAAAAGAGCTTTTTTATTCTGTCAAATCTGTAATTAAGTTTTATGCCTATTTTTGAGGCATATCAATGATTTAACATCATTCATACTTATCGTTTAACAAATAATTACATTCTCATGTTCCGACAGTACTTTACTTATTCAGAGCTCCATCCTTGACTTCCTTTTGCATACCTTCTACTGTAGTTTCCATTACTATGTGATTACTCAGCATTGCTTGACCCTGCTTCAGCAGAATGCACTATTTCCTACATGACCTGACTGCTTCCACAAAAGACAGCATCCACATTGTTATCTAATAAACATCTGGAAGCATCAGTTAGATGATGATGCTTGAGGAGCATTATAGTAGCTGTGACTTGCCTGTTCATTTGAAGTGGGGTAATTTGCTGAAGAGGCAGTAACAAAAAAATTGAGGATATATGTACTCAAAGACCAATAGGCATTTCTTGGAACTTCCTTGAATCCTTCTTCAAAGAATATGACTGAAGTTCTATCTACAATTTTTTAAAGCTATATGTCTGACTTGGATTCTGTTTCTGAAGCCTTCTGAGTAACCAAGAGCACAGTTTTCAATATCAAAGCCAGTTCAACCATGTACCTTAGAAAGGGCTGATGTTCAAATGGAGTGAAATGGAATGAACACTCCCAAATCATTATTTCTTTATCCTATAAAATAATCTTCTTTCCTACTAGAGCCGTGCAAAGATGACACTTTTCAGTGTGAAAATGGAGAATGTGTTCCACTTGTGAACCTCTGTGATGGTCAGCCACATTGTAAGGATGGCTCAGATGAAGCACATTGTGGTAAATCTTATTTTTATGTTCATATTATTTTAACCACTATTTCTTAGATTCTAAGTGTGTGTTTATTACAATGCATCTGAAGTTGTGGAGTGTGAGCATCTCACAGTGATCCCAACAGTTCTGTGCTACCTAGTTAGAAGAAAATTTAACATGTGTTTCTGCTCATTTCTTTGTTTAAACGGAGATACATTTAATAACAAAAAGTCTAGGACAACCAACATCAGGTTGATCACCGAAATAACACAAGATGTAAGAGCCCAAAGTAGTCATTTTTGTACAACTCAGATTAGCCATTGACTGTATTGTGCTTATTATAGAATGTAAGTAGACATCAGGTGCTTATTTATAGCTGACTTCCAGACACTTGGCCCTTGTCTTTCTTGGTTCTTTAATATATTTTACTCCTTCTGTCTTACTTATTTTTTAATCTAGCCCCCTACCCCCCTTCAGGTTTCTGTAACAATTTGAGAATTCATTCTTTACTAAACCTCATTTTTACTTCTAGGAAATATTTAATGTACATATGTTATTTAATGTATATATCTATAAGTGTATATTTAATAGATATTATATGATACTGTATGTTACATATTATATTAGTCAATATCTAATCAAATAAGTGCATACATTGAAAGCATAATCAGTTTCTACACTCTAAATACTAAGAACATTGCTGTTACCCTAAGGCCTTCATTTACTTTTACCAACTTATGTCAAAATGATCCCATGTGTAATCTGATATTTTTAATACATGTCCCTTAATTAGTTTAAAATTTGTAGTATAAATAAGCATAATTGTAAATACTGAAAGAGTATAGAGATTTTATGATATATGTGTACAATGGTAACGAATAAACTAATTGACCTATCTGTCACTTCAGATATTTATGATTTCCTTTGCAGTAAGAATCTTTGAAACTTACTTTCATAGCATTTTTTGAAATATACAATGCACTATTATTGTATGCAGTAGTAAGTATAGTAAGCATATTCTTCAATAGATCTCATTCCTATCAACTAATGGAAATAGTTTTTCTTCTGATTGACCACACATCAATGCATTCACCTTCCAGTCTTTAGAAACTACCACTGTTCTCTGAATCTGCAGTGCATCTTTCCAATGGCACAATGAGCAACAATGGGCTGGTGCAGTTCAGAATCCAGGCCAAATGGCATGTAGCCTGTGCTGAGAACTGGACCACAGAAATTTCAAATGATGTTTGTCACCTTCTGGGACTGGGGTAAGTAATTTTTTTAAAGAATGTAACTTTTAAAACAATATTCCATTGAATTTATTTAAAATGTATAATTTGTGAGTTTAGAAAGCAGATATGAACTTAGAAAATGTATGAGCACAAAAGAAGAAAGTAAAATTTTGATTACCTCCTTTCTATAGTAGTAATTATGACTAAAATTATTTTAGAAATATATTTCTATGCAAATATTATACAAGATAAAATATGCTGTACATCTAAGCATTTTTTATGGTTGTACATATACCTTTTAAAGAAAATAAAGTACAATCATCTGTTGGGCTCTGTGGAGAATTTGTTCCTAGACCGCAATGGGTAATAAAATCCATGCATGCTCAAGTCCTTATTAAAAAAATGGCATAGCTAGGTACTGATGGCTCATGCTTATAATCCTATCAACTCAAGAGACTGAGATCTAAGAAATGTGGTTGAAAGCCAGGCAGTGCAAGAAAGGCTGTGAGATCTTATCTCCAATTAACCACAAAAAGACAGAAGCTGTGACTCAAGTGGTAGAGTGCTAACCTTGAACTAAAATCTCAGACACAGCCTCTATGCCATGATTCAAGCCCTAGAACCAACACATACACACACACACACACACACACAAAAAAAAACTGCACAATATTTGCAAGTAATCTGCATTTCTGCCCATTTATATTACATCATCTCCAGACTTATTATAAAAGCCATTAAAATATAAATAGCATATGAGTACTTGTGATTCTAGGGAATCATAACTAGAAAAAAATTGTAAATAGCCAGTATAGGTGTAATTTCTGTGTGTGGATAGATAGATAGATAGATAGATAGATAGATAGATAGATAGATAGATAGATAGATAGATAGATAGATAGATAGATTAGATAGAGAGATAGATGGCTTATATGTAAAGATATAGAAATTACAGAAACAGAGCACTGATTATATTCCATTTCCATAAGAAGCATAACAAAACACAATAGTACTTCAGAGAAATTTATTTTACTAAATATTTTCAAAATATTCACAATAGTTGCTTGAGAAAATTTGTTAAAGTACAATGTGAACTACATATGAGAAGGTTTAAGACATACCCAAGAAAGATAATACAAGTAAAACTTATAATTAATGAATCACCAAAAATTAATTATACTTCACAGTCTAATGTAATAATATGTTACGTGGACATCTAAGTTCACATTATTCATTCCTTACTTCCTCATATTTCTAGACAAAAACGAGCAAAAAATAGAAAACAATGAATATGCATAATTTGATTCTTCTGCAATTCTTCTCAATGTTTTGTTTTGTTTTGTTTTTTGTTTGTTGATTGTTGGGCTTGAACTCTGGGCCTGGATGCTGTCCCTCAACTCTTCGACTCAAGGCTAGCACTCTATCACTTGAGCCACTGCACCACTTTTAGTTTTCTGCTGGTTTATTGGAGATAAGAGTCTCATGGACTTTAATGGCTAGGCTGGCTTTGAACCACAGTCATCAGATCTCAGCCTCCTGAGTAGCTACAGGCCTGAGACACCGATGCCAGGCAATTCTTCTCAATTCTGACACAGCCTTCTATGACTGAAGATTCACAATTATATTCACATATAGTTATTTTTTAACCATTGACATGATTGTGCTTCTCACCTGTGTGTCATATTAAACTATGAGTTCTCTAAATGCAAGAGATGCATGTTGATTTTCCATCACTATAATATGTATCTGTGGTAACCAGCTTATAAATAGGTAAGGATCATTTTGTTGCAGTCTTGGAGTTTCCAATCAATGATCAATTGTTCCTAGCACTTTGGACATATGAGAAAGCAAGAGTAGGCTGTATAGTTCTTCAAAGTTTTCACTACCTTTCAACAGCACCAAGATTCAAAATTTGCAGACATTTAGAAGACATTTAAAGTCCAACCTACAGCACTTCTTTATTTTATCTGTTATTGCTCACATCCAAAGAAATCCTTGTTTGAAAAGAATATACGCACAAAATACATATTCATGGAGGCAATAAATTATTCATTGTTTTCATGCATACGTACATATAAATATGGATAGATCTAGCTATCTAAAAGCATGCCAAGAGTCATTTAACTAGAAAGCATTATCATTTTCTCTCTGCTCTGAACTGGTACCTCATTTTCTAACATAAAAGTTACAAGGTCAAAAAAGAAAAATAATCCATGTACTCTCATATGCATACATCAACATTTTAGCTAACACCAAATATTCGTAATTCATCAAAATCAAATGCAGTTGATTGCCTTTAACATACAAGGCTCCTCAAACCAACTAGTAGTGCATAAACCAACCTTAACGCACAGATTTTCAAAATGGCTTCCTGTTTATTTTCTTATTTTTTTTTTAATTTTATTTTATTTTATTTGAGAACATACTGTACAGAGGGGTTACAATTACATGGGTAGGATAATGCATACATTTCTTACCAAGCATTGCAGCCTCCTCCTTTGTTTACCCTTCACCTCCCTTCCCAGCCTCTCCCCTCCCCCCCACCCAATCATACCCCCCCTCCCCCCCCAGACCGACATTGTAAAGCTGGTTTTGACATGACATTTTGTACTTCTCATTGTTACAACAGGTCCACCTGAATCCTTAAACGACTTGTTTGTCCCCGTCTCCTCCACATGTTATACTGACATCAAATATAGTGAAAGCGGAGGTTACACTGTGGGGGAGGGACTTACAAAGCAACAAAGAAATAATCTTATAAATGCGTTAGAAACACATGCATGAAAGAAACAAAAACATTAAAATACATATTTGAGGGTTCGTTTTCCTAACATCACATTCTCTGACTTTTTCCGCTTGACTCATACCTATACTAGATATTGCAAATAAGGGAAACCGTGGGACCTATGTTTCTTTGGGCCTGGCTTACTTCACTTAATATAATTTTTTCCAAGCCTTTCCATTTCCTAACAAATGGGGAAATGTCATTCTTTCTGATGGAGGCATAGAATTCCATTGTGTATATATACCACATTTTCTTGATCCATTCATCTACTGAGGGGCATTTGGGTTGGTTCCATATCTTAGCTATGGTAAATAATGCTGCAATAAACATAGTTGTGCTGGTAGCTTTAGTGTGGTCTTTTTTGTAAACATTAGGGTAAATGCCCAAAAGTGGGATTGCTGGGTCATAGGGGAGTTCTATGTGAAGTCTTCTGAGGAACCTCCATATTGCTTTCCAAAGTGGTTGAACAAGTTTACATTCCCACCAACAATGAAGTAAGGTTCCTTTCTGTCCACATCCTCTCCAGCATCTGTTGTTGTTAGAGTTCTTGATTTTTGCTGTTCTAACTGGAGTGAGGTGATATCTCAATGTTGTTTTGATTTGCATTTCTTTTATGGCTAGGGATGTTGAACATTTCTTCATGTGTCTATTGGCCATCCTTCTTTCTTCTTCAGAGAAGCTTCTCTTTAGGTCTTTCGCCCACTTACTTATTGGGCAGTTGTTTCTTTGAGGATTTGTTGTTGGGTGGTTTAATTTTTTGAGTTCCAAGTATATTTTAGATATGAGACCCTTGTCCGTTGTATGGCTAGTAAAGATCTTCTCCCAATCCGTGGGCTTTCTATTGATCTTGCTAGCTATGTCATTTGCCCTGCAGAAGCTCTGCAACCTTATGCAATCCCATTTGTCCAACCTTTCTTTGATTTGTTGTGTTTCCGGATAAATATTCAGAAAATTTCGGCCTGAGCCAAGGAGACCCAGGGTTTCTCCTATTCCATCCTGTAATGTTTTCAGAGTGTCTGCTTTGAGTTCAAGGTCTTTGATCCATTTGGAGTTGATTCTGGTGCAGGGTGATATATAAGGATCTAGCTTTAGTTTTCTACATGTAGTTAACCAGTTTTGCCAGCACCATTTACTGAAGAGGTTGTCTTTCTTCCATTCTATTGTTTTAGCTCCCTTATCGAAGATTAGATGGCTATAGGTCTGTGGGTTCATTTCTGGGTTTTCAATTCTATTCCATTGGTACTGAGGTCTGTTCTTATGCCAATACCAAGCTGTTTTGATTACTATGGCTTTATAGTAGAGTTTGAAATTTGGTATTGATATTCCTCCAGCAGTGTTCTTTCCATTGAGGAGCGTTTTTGCTATTCGGGGTCTTTTATTGTTCCATATGAATTTTTGGATTGCCTCTTCTATTTCCTTGAAGAATGAGGATGGAATTTTGATAGGTATTGCGTTGAATTTGTAGATAGCCTTGGGAAGTATTGCCATTTTCACGATGTTAATCTTTCCAATCCAGGAGCATGGGAGGTTTTGCCATTTTTTAAGTTCTGTATTGATTTCCTTTTTCAAGATTTTAAAGTTTTCATCATAGAGGTCCTTCACTTCTTTAGTTAATTCCTAGGTATTTTATTTTTTGTGGGGCTATTACAAATGGAGTTGCTTTCCTAATTTCAGCCACACTTTTCTCATTGTTGGCATACAGAAAAGCCATTGATTTTGGGGGGTTAATTTTATAACCTGCTACTTTGCCAAAGTTTTGAATCAGCTTGAGTAATTTGGGAGTGGAGACTATGGGATTCTTTAAATACAAGATCATGTCATCTGCAAAGAGGGAGAGTTTTATTTCTTTTTTCCCTATTTGGATCCCCTTTATGTCTGCATCTTGTCTTATTGCTGTAGCTAGACATTCTAATACTAGATTGAAGAGAAGTGGAGAGAGTGGGCATCCTTGTCTTGTTCCTGAGTTAAGAGGAAATGGCTTTAGTTTTTCACCATTGAGTATAATGCTGGCTGTAGGTTTGTCATATACAGCCTTTATTGTATTGAGGAATGTTCCATGGATCCCTAATTTTTCCAAAACCTTCATCATAAAGGGGTGTTGGATCTTGTCGAATGCTTTTTCTGCATCTATTGAGATAACCATGTGGTTCTTATTCTTGCTCCTGTTGATGTGATGAATAATATTAATTGATTTGCGTATATTGAACCAGCTTTGCATCCCTGAAATGAATCCTGTTTGATCGTGGTGTAT